GGGGGGAATTTGTGTGCTGGAGCCTGTTTATGGCGGGTTTTAAGCCAATTTCAAAGCAGAATTTTTCACAATTGTGTAAAAAACCTCAGTATTAGGTTGCTGTAGGGGTCAGCAAAAACAAAATCAGCTAAGTACATCTAATATATCCACAATCCCCAAGCCTGTGAGTGGGGGGGGGACATGGAACCTTCCAAGGTTACGAAGGCACGGGGGGGGAACTTGGGACTTGAGCGAGCAGGGCTGGTGAGGAAGGGGGGGGCACAAGGGTCCTCGACCCAAAAGGGCTCCACAGCTACTACGGGGGGTACCGCTTCAAAATGACCCTTCCCTAAAACCCCCTTCAACCCTTAGTTCTTGCATCCCCCGCAGTGACTGTGCCACTCACGTGCCACTATCACCACTAGAATGTTTGAATGTTGGAAGGAAACCGTTTTCCTCATTTCGTTGGCCCGGCCAGGAACATTCTCACATGATTATATGCACTAAGCCTTGATGGAGCAAGAGATGCGGGAATCATCACATGGGTGCATGGGCATCACCTAATCCAAAGCTGAGTCCATAGAGGGTCCATAGCGTGATGGCCCGCCATAGACAGGCGCCTAGAAGTCTGTATCGACCTCAGTGGACCCACCGGGGGACCCGGAGGTTGCCCGAGTTGCCCGCGACGCTGCGCGACCTTCCGCGACGTACTCTTCGCGACTTTACGCGAGTGCTCCGCGACTTTGTTCGGTGATCTTCGCCACTTTCACCACTGCAACCTTCCAAACCATTGAAAAACATGTTCAATTCCATGAAATTCCAAGTAAGTTTTGTGTATTAGTTTTTTCAATGCTCCGCGACATTACGCGATGACGCGACTTTCCGCAACTTTCCGCGACTTTCGTCCGCAGCAAGTTTCGGCGGCCGCAACACTGCGACCTCCGCCCGCCCGAGATAGGCGAGGGATAGGCCTGCCGCCTATAGACCCGGCCTACCGGCCTATGGCCCATCAGGCTACGGAGGTACGACATTTTGAACCTTTTCATGAAAGATTTGGAAGCCTACTATCTGGTAGATAGGCTTCCACTGAGTCTAGCTATAGCTTCTCAGCTTCCTCGGCAGCTTGGGGCGCTTCATAGCTTCAAGCCTGTTGTAAGCCGCCTAGTACATGTTAAAGCCTTCACAAAGCCTTATCACCTTAATTATACCTTGTTTATGTACGTATCAGTTTTCCATGATGTGAGTCCAAGTGATATGCTAAGTGGTCACCGGCACTAGATTTAGTTGCATTTTCACATTTTATCATATCTCTTATCCTCTTAGTCTCTTATGGCATGTATGACGAAACTTATCGAAAGTTACGAATCACAACGACGTCGTGTCACATGACTCAACTGTGACTGACGCGAACTTGATCTTAGTATACCATGGTTCGAAACGTGAGATTATTTTTTCTTTACATCTAGCCAATTGATGATCGATAGCACTATACAGACGGCGTACGACGTACTACACGTCCCGAGCACACCGAAGAGACCGTCTCTGACGCGTCTCTGAGACACCGTGACAGTTCGGATCTGACAATCCAACTTGCATGGCCTTCAAAGCAAGAAATTTATCAAGGCCGTACTCCGATTGATATGCGTTGCGGTAACGCGGTGCTTGGACATGATGATGTTCGTATGTGGATAAAGGGAGACGTACACGTTGAGTTCGACTGCAGTTGCCAGCTTGGCAGTATAGTATTGAATGGTGATTGACTCAGTGAATACTGGATATGCCAGCCTAGCTCGGCCACTTTTGGATAGGCTGCATCATTATGCACGTGACATGCATTTTTTTGCTGAGCGGTCCTCGAAACATGTTCAAGCAATTTCAACAAGCACAATAGCTCAACTTACAACTGGAAAACAAGCAGATAACGCGCTGCCGCGGCCGCCGCGCCCGACCGGCGGCCCGTATGGATGCAATCAACCATGGAATGTTCATAACTGGATCGGATGCCACCGCCGTGCACGCCAGTGACCGTCTAGGCAACTTGATAGGAATTTGCTTGAACTTAACCGTTCGACGCGGTCATTTTGTTATACTAGAGTCGCCGCGGCTCTCTAAAAATATTTAATCCACTGATCGATGCAAAATCACACCGCTAGTCTGGACTTGACTACAGATAGTCCGCATGCTTTAAATTACTGCAGTAGTAGCTACGCATATTATGCTGGACTCGAGTCGATGCCAGCGCACGATTATAATTGCCAGGCTATCAATCATCAGCGCTTTCGTCTAGGCTACATGTGACTACACACTGAACCCGGCGCGGTCATCGTGTCTATGTGTAAGATCGATCATTAATTTGAGTACACGTAGCTAGCATTCGATTGCATGAATGATATACTATATGATAAGCCTGAAGGTTGTATAGGATAGTATACAACCATTTGGTAATTTAAAGCGCAACACGTACATATGTTCTGCAATCAGCTCGAGCTGAGTCGAAAGTAAATATGCGGAATAAATGGTAGCATGATGATTTGACCTGCTTAATTAATGATCTTGATTACATGATCTCACAATCTCTGAGTCGATCGCGCAGATCTTTGAAATTCGTCAATCCGATGCAAGTCACTTTATCTGCATGGCGCCCATGTCACTGCACTGGTAGACAATCCGACGATTCATCGAGCGAAACTAGGAGACGCAGATGCAACGATTGCCTCCATCATGGCCGCCGCCCAGCGCACCAGATCATGATGGCAGGGCGCTTACGCAATATCATGTGGGATTTAATAACCATTTGCAAGCTAGGATGCTTCAATGCACAAACACAACAAAGTCCGATCGCCCGACGCAAAAAAGATGCACAAACCCTTGGCACTTAACCTGGACGCGGAACGAGAAATATGCGAACCAATTTCGTCGTTTCCATATGGAGGAATAAACAGGAAAATGCGAAGTCGACTGCCGGATCGAACCAGCATCCTTCTACACATAATGCTTTTGCATCCCGTTGCACTTGATCGTCTTTGACGACGAGCTCCCCCGAAAGGATGAGTACCTAACCCTAGAAAAGAATCAGCAAAGCAAAGGCGGTGTATACGAGCAGGCAGGCATACGCTATGAGGCTCTGCTGTTCTCGCGCCTGTGGTAGGAGCGAGACCAACAGAATGGAACACGTCCGAGCGCTCCAGAGCACGGCCACCACCGCAAGCGCCGCAGGTATGAGGCCCCTGGAAAAGAAAGAAAGATGTGAATTCCCGTGAACAGAGGATGGTTATGAGCAGACTAATGGTAAACCGCCCACTTGGTCTCCCAAATTTGTAGAGGTTCGTATGGCCGAAGGTGTATGACGAATTCGCACAACCAGGAAAGGCCTTCACGCATGCAGAACCCAAAGCGATCGCTCCCTTTGACAAGTTACTGACCAATTCCGGGGCAGGTAACATGACGGAAATTTCTTGATACGGAATCTGTGACTAGCAGGATCCAGGGGCATCCCGGCTGCCTTAAACAAACCGGAGTCCAATGGGCTCTTCCCCTTGCTTCATCAAACGGTCCGGTTTCTGTCCACGGGATTGGACAGGGCAGATGCATGACCAGTGAACCTGGCGCGTATGCGCTTCGACAAAAAGCCCAGGAGTCGCACTGACTACTATCCTGCTGGCTGAGTGACGTTTAACAACTTTAACAACGGGGCAAAGCACCTTCCTCAGATACGCATTTTCAGAGAAACCTCTGAGGTTGCAGTTCGAGCTGCCCCAATCCAGCATACGCGTCGCCGCAGAACTACGAAGAGTATATAACGCCCCTTACAACGACAAATGAAGACGAAACCAGCAACTCATACCCACCAAACGAACAGGGGACGCAACGGGTAGGGTAAGTGCTACTTGAAGGTTGTCTTGAAGGGAGAGACTAGAGCGAGCGAGAGCCTCGCAGGTTGCCGTTTGATCAAAGGGTATTGAACAGGGACATGACAGGATCGGACGGCTGTGGCTGGACAACTGATGCCGCTGCCACGCACCCGTGTTGAAAAAGAGAAAGCCCTTGACACTGAAACTCGTCTTGAATCGAAGGTGACTTATCATGGCGGATCGTTGATGACACGTCTGAGAATAAAGGAGCGTCTGTCAAACGCCCAGATACTGTGACACGAATCTCTGAAGAATCGGTCGCGATACGGCCGAGGAAGGCGGCGTTCATCATGCGAGTAATCCATTCAAAAAGACTTCCTGATACGCTGTGACGTACGGCTGACGCTTCAGTGAGCCGTGTGTCAGATCAAGCTCAGAAGCCATACGGAGGAGGGTTTACCATTTAGTAAGCGGTGTATCGAAGCGGCCTCAAAGGCGTTGCAGCAAACAAGAGGAGCAAGAGTCGAGCACGTAGCCCACGAAAGAATATTTTTTCCCCGTTCTTCAAATGAAGTGGGGAAAGAGAGAAGGGACACAAAGAAAGTGCTCCCATCAAGAGGGGCTAGCGGCTGCAATTCGAGTTCACCAACAACGCGACCGGCATCAGCGAAAGCATTTGGATTTTGAAGATGTGAAGCGTGGCTTACCCTGACGAGATGAGTAGCAAGGCGGCTAAGAAGAGGAGTACCAGAAGGCGGGACTAAAGAGGTGATAACGCCCAAGGAGGCTAAAGCAAGCCCATGGGGAGTGAAACATCGCCTCAGGGTCTGACAAGTCACTTTTCGAGAGAAACTCACCAGCCAGACGAAGGAAGACGTAGGCACAGGCAGAAGCGAACTCAGACTTTCAGAACGTGACACGTGGCTAACCTGAGAAAATCAGGAGCCACGCGGCTGAGAACAGGAGCATCGGAAGGAGGGAGTAACCTTGGAACGAAAACAACTCAGGGTCTTACGCTTCTAATTCACCAACCACGCGACCGGAAAAGTGAGCGTTGGCAAAAGTGGATAGGCGTCAGGAACGTGACACGTGGCTCACCCTGAGGGGATCACTAGCGACGTGGCAGAGAAGAGGAGTATCGGCACGAGGCAGTAACCCATGGAACAAAAACATCGGTTCAGACTTCGGGTACTTCTGATTCACCATGCAAGCGATTGGAGAAGCGAGTGTTGGCAAAAGCGGATAGGCGTCAGGAACGTGACACGTGGCTCACCCTGAGGGAGACAATAGCGACACGGTCGACAACAGGAGCATCGGAAGAAGGAAGTAGCCCATCACAAAGGAACACGTGTCAGGATCTGACAAATCTACTTACCCCGACGGGTTCAGCAACTTCACGAAGAACAATAACAAAACAATAAACCTCGGCAAAAAAGCGAAGACAGGCTTTCGGACTGTGACACGCAGCTCACCCTGAGGGAATCAGTAGCGACGCGGCGGAGAAGAGGAGCATCGGAAGGAGCGAGTAGCCCATGACACTGGAACACCGGTAGAGGTCGACGCTCCCGGCGGGCCCCGCTAACAGGTTAAACATAGCGTATAGGAAGATGGACGCAAGGGTGGCCCAGCCTAAGACGACGCCAAAGTGGACTTTTCCAGCCTGCATGGATTTCAATCAGACAAGTTAGTTTTCCCAGTCTAGTTCTTCCGAAGGGCTCGCTCAAAGCCAACGGAGTGGTCTAACCCACGATGTCGCCAAGTTGAAGCTTTTTGGCCTGCATGAACGAAAGGAGGAGACTCAATCAAAATTATCTCTCGAGAGTTCTTCTGAAGCAATCGCTTTATCAAAGACGAAGTTAGCCCAGCCCAGGACGAGGCTAGATCGATATTTCCGGCCATTGGAAAGAGGATAACAAAAAGACGATGTAACCAATCTAGTTCCTTTTAATGGGATCGCCGAAGAATTTTCAAATATTATCCAGCACGGGACGACGCCACGGTGACCTTTTCCGGCCCGCAATGATTCGAAAAAGAGAAGCAATCCGCCCCAGTCTAGTTCTTCCAACGGGCATACATTCCAAGGGGCCCAGCCCAGGATGACAATAGAGGAATTTAGATGTTTCCATTGCAGAGCTTTGAGAAGGGCACTTGTAGAAGACACAACGAGGAGACAGACCAAATGCGATTAGAACAGGCCACCGTGACTGCAACTCCTCCAAACCCGTGTACAGGAAGCGCTGAAGCGACGGGGGTAGGGGGTCAAACCCCCTCATTCCACCCTGCACCCCCGACACGCGAGTGCGCCCCTATCTAACCAAGAAGTTATGTATGTAGACGGTTGAAAGAATGAGACGATGCAAAACCGGCGCGGACTACTGTAGGAGTGCCTCCGACAAGTCATTTGCTCCTTCAGCAAGAAACGAGAAAGCGGAAGCCAACAAGATTCGAGACCGTACGAAACAAGAGCGAGACTATCAGCAGTTCGAGACCGTACGAAACAAGAGCGAAACTATCAACAGTTGACGAAAGGCGAAGCTCATGCAAACCAGAATGGCTCCCAACCGGTCCCGTTGTTCCTTGACTTAGAAAGGAAGTTGGAAAGGAGATCAGAATTCCCCCTAGGAACAAGAAGTAACTTACCAGAAGTTGACACGATGCAAAGCCAAGACAAACTAGAATGGGCCCCGACAGGTCTCCGTCCTCCATCATGTCCGTGTTAAGCTTGTAGGGGTGCAGCACGTTCCAGATTTTGCGGGTGATGAGCGGTACGTTAATGCCCAGCTCTGCAGCACGAAGTGCACAAAGAAGGTGAGCATTCAAACCAGGTCGCACACTACCAAGCACAGAATGTCCGTGTTGGCTCTGTAGGGGTGCAGCACAATCCTGAACCTGCAGGTAATGAGTGGTACGCTGATGCCCCTCTCTGTAGCACAAGGGGAAATGAGGTGAGCACTCAAACAAAGTTGTAATTGACTGAGCAAAAAAAGTGTTTGATTTGATGTTTGCCGCGAGTTTCTGATTCTGCGGGTGATGAGCTATACATTGATAGCCAGCTCTGCAGGTCACAAGCAGAACGGTGGTAGCCCTCCTACAAGCTCGTACTCTACTGAGCGATCAGCGGATGATGTTCGCAGAAGATGGCGATTGCCAGACGTCGATCCCCAGCTGTGTAGCAGACTCAAGACACGGATGCAAGTATCCGCAAAGATTCAAAATCTACCAGACAGTGCAGAACTTGGGGAGTGCACGTTTCGTAGACCGTTTTGAAAAAATCGAACGTCATTAGATTCACGGAGCAGAAAAGGAAGCACTCGGACCGATGAGCGGTGCGATTTGCTCAGCTTCACATCATGGATCACTCTCGAAATGGTGAGCTCTTCAGGAAGGTTGCGAGAATCTCTGAATATGAACTGCAAGAGTTTGTGGGCTATGCAGGGTGTACTTGATCTGAACTATTAGGCAGGAACAAAGCGAGAACTCTGTTCCTGAAAGGACCAAGGGGCAGAGTTGCCAAGATGCTAAGGAGTCAGATCGTTAACCTCGACAGGATGCGTCGTTCCCTTACGGGAAAGCTTGAATGCGAGATGATATCCACTTTATGCAACTTCAACGAACACAGAAGCTCCAATTGAGGCCAAGAAAAGGACTTTTCATAGTCCTGACACTCCAAAGCAACACAAGATTGTACTCCAGGCTATAGGAGACAACTCCATCGAGCAAGTCCTTTTGAAAGATCGCCAGTGCAAATCTGATACTGAAGAACCAATGAAAGTGAGGTCTTTTCTAAGCCCTGACATGGCAAGAGAAACTTGCACCACCCACAGCATCAAACTCAAAACTAGATATCAACAAAGAGAGAACATTGGGTAAAATTACACTCTTGAAGCTCATCATGTACGGTGGCAACAGATTAGAGTATGTATGTATGTAAAGTTGATGATCGTACATATTTAGGTGCTAAGTAAGCACTTGCATGAAAATATCTCCACAAAGGCCATCAGTAGAACACTAAACAGGTCAAGAGCAACACCACGCGGGTCTCAGATCAGTGACCATGAACAAACCACAATGATGATCGTCAGTTGCTTGAGCTCAGCTTTTTGGCATGGCGAAATCTACACAACCCATTCAGCTGCTGACCTGAACCCTAATTTGGGTCGACCAGATTCCATAATCCCTCAGCTTGCAGGCCAAGGACCCCAAAACGTTCTTTTACTCAAATTTAAGCAGTGTCAACAAAGACTCCAACCCCTGAACTGAATCCAGAGGCAACAATTTGAGCTGAGGATCATTGCGCTAAAAAGGAACTTCTTCGAAGAATCTCGAATTCATCAAAAATCACACCACCGAAATCCTGAGGAGACATAAGACAGGCAAAGAAAGATCAAAAGCAGGCAACATTCTTCGAGATCGCGCTTTTAAAACCTCACCTTCCAGAAGCGGTGGCTCGTCCCTAAAGTCAAATCCTCCTCCGCTGTATGTAGCCGATTGACCAATAGGTGCTGGGGCGTATACATTTCCCGTGTTCCCATACTGACCGAACGACATGAACGGTACTTGGCCAGGGCCGGACCAGGCAGGCGGGGGCTGACTTGGATTGAAAGGTTGCATGGAAGGGGGGCCGGGGTGCATCTGGTGCGATGAAGGCCCATCAAACGATACCGAGACTTCATCAGGAGGGCCCATTTTGAACTCCCACTGGCGATGAAAGCTCAAGGGTTTTGTGCTGGCCACAAACGATGAGATCTTGAAAGAGGAACGGATGAAGGCTAGGAATTGCCTCCGTTACATACGATGAGATCTCTTGCACGACCCGACAATAGCTCAATATAGTAAGCTAGTCACGAACGGTGGTTTTTCAGCTGAGCATAGGAGCTGCGCTGATTCCTTTTCACTTTGGCAGGCCGTATGTTGCTGATCAGGTTTGCTTCAAAGTGCAGCTATTCCTCAGGGGCTAGCACAGAGATTTGGCTGTGCATCAAGCAATCAGTTCACCTCTTTTAAACAAAAGCTGGATCCAATCTCGTATCATCAAACTTGCTGATATTTGTCGGATCGAACGCTCAAACCCTTTCCAATTGCGGGAGCCCCTCAAGCGTGGACAAGACGACCAGTATCGAAAGCTGGTCACTTGGAAGATTCTGAACACATTCAGATTGCCTTGACCACCTCCTTTCAAAGGCGGTTTTCCTTCAAGTTCAACCAGTTCACTTGCTCCCTGTCATCCAGCTTTGCTTTCACTGACATCAGTTTCACAAGTTTCAGCATGCAGATAGCCGCGATCAAATGGGGTTTGGGATCCTGTTTGGTTAACCAACGCGGGCGCGTTCTGGTTACAACCAGGCAGCAAAAGCCTGGTTCTGCAATGCGCCCACTCAAAGTTTTGAGAATAAGGTCACTTGTACCAAGTTGTCACCGCACACGAGGTTGGTTTGTTCTGTAGACCCGACTCAATTTTCAAGGTTCGCTGCACGAGAGACGAGCTCTGGAGATCTCTCCAATCTAGCTTGTTTTGATATGTCATTATGAAATGATGCTTATTTTTTGAGCAAAACCAGACATCTGGATCTGGACCGAAAGAAACCATCTTGTCATTGAGCGAGACAGAGAAAGCGAAGCTAGTTCCTAGAACTTAGAAGGCGCCTGCCATTAGACGAGTACGATAGGTACACTAGAGTTTGTAGGGCGGGGTTGTTTCACAGGGTTGTGGGCGCACTGTCAACGCCTGAACTCCGGCAGAAGTTGGGCGTTTGTGAAGGCGGCATGGCGGCTGCAAATGCTGTGGTGAGTATTCCTACCAAACATTTTGGAAACCAGGAGAGTCAGGCAGCATGGGTAGCGGCAAGCTGCTGCAGTGCTTTATCATGGAAGCTTGTCAATTTCAAAGAGCGCCTCTATCATCTACTGAGCAACAGTCTTCAGATACTGGAGTGCTCTTGTTGTGGATGCTTTATCGGTGTGACTGAAAGCTTCTGCTAGGGAGATTCCCATTGGTTTTCTGGGTTTGTTGGGCACGGTGGAGAGCACAAGAAAGGGTCGAACTTTGAGTCACATAAGCAGGATAGATGGGAAGTGCTAATGCTTAGCCAATCTTCTCTGGTGGACATTTCGGTTGCAGGCGTCCAGATGAAGTCCAGATTAGCCCTTCTCTTTGCATCAAAATGCAAAGACACCCGGGGCATGTCTGATGTAGCGATTGCAAGGCGCACATGCAAACCAGGCTGTCCAGTTTAAGTCCGCAAGAAGCATTTGAGATCAGGATATGTTAAAGCTCTTGGTGGATACTGTTTGCATCGACTTCTTTTTCTCGGTACAGGGGTGTGCGGCCTCGCAATACACTTACATTAAGAAGCCACAACGTTTCCAAAGTGTAGAAAAAACTGGGTAAAATCACTCTCTCTTACTTAAATGCTGTGAGGGGTATGAAGTTTTGGCAGAGGCCTGAAGCTTGGTATAAGGTGGTACAGGGTGGTTTTGACACAGACAAGCGGTTTTGTCGACCAGATCACCCGGTCAAATCGTTAAAGAAACTAACTACACCCTTCCAACACCATATGTTAATGATTAATCTTGGTTTCTGCAGAGGCCTGGGGCCTTGTACATGGATGATGTCGATGCAGTCCACCAATTGCCGCACAAGCTCAGTCAGACCACCCCACCAAGACGGACTTTGCAGAAGCACGAAACAAATCCCGCACGTTAGGGTCGTTTTAAGGACAACAGATGTTCTTGGTTTGTGCAGAGGGCCAAGGCTTGGTACGTGAACGACTCTGCTGCGGACCAATTGCCAGACATGACCATGTCAAATGGACCTTGCGAAAGCATTCTACTAGGGGAAAAACCTTCACGCGTTTAGCCTCAATTGATGATCTTGTGTTTTGCAGAGGCCTGAGGCCTGGTACATGGATGACTCTGACGCAGACCAGCGGTTGCTGCACAAGCTGGAGCCGAACCAGCCCGTTAGACAGGCTTCCAAGAAGCACTGATCCAAACTCCCCACTTCTTTTGTATATATACAATAACAGATGTCCCTGATTTCTCATTCTTCATTTTGCAGAGGCCTGAGGCCTGGTACATGGACGATTCTGATGCAGATCAGCGGTGGTCGCACAAGCTGGAGCCAAACCAGCCGGTGTCTCGGGAGCAATTGGCGGAGCTTGGGGTGGTGCACTGGGTGCTGGACGCAGACAAGTATGAGACGGACCCTGAGTTGCAGCAGATTAGAAAGGACAGGAACTACAGCTACCAGGTGAGGCCTGGCTGTTTCCTCTCTCTTACTCTTTCTTCTTTCGCTTCTCCTTCTCTTTCACCTGTTTGTTGCCTCTTCAGACCTTCTCTCTCGTTTTCTTCTACTGATGAAGTTGAAGATTTGAAGGGTTTCTTGGAAGGAGGAACTGGCGCTGCACTTGAAAAGCTTGTCGGGGTTGTCGTAGAACTGTCTCCAAGGCCCACTTTCTACATTGGTACAGAAACTGTCTACTCCGACATATTGCAGGTTTGATGAGTGTATGCATCATGCTCGTCGTGACAAGAGCTTTCAAAGCTTGCACCGCCGGATCTGTTCTGCTTCATCGTTTAACAGCTATTTTGTACATAGATTATATCTACCGTTCTGGTCTGCGAATTGACCCCGCCATGCAGACGACGGTTCACTTTTGTCCCTTTTCATCTCACTGAGTTATTCACACTTTCGTTGTTAAATGGGTTCCGCATTTTTAATGGTGTTACCAACATTGAGTGTGGGGCGTTAAAAAGTGAATTGCGTTGATTTTTTCAGAATTGTAGGAACCGCAGTATTTGGTCCACGATGTCGCGATTACCAAAATGGGCACTTGCTCGCAGAACAGTGCATGTTGTCACCCTTCGATCCGTTTCTTGTCGATGAAAGTTTGTAAGAATCTGATGCCTGATTCTTGCCTACCTATGTTCAAAATTCATTGAAGTAATACTAAGGCTTTTATCGAGATTCGAGAAACTGATCTTGTTCTGCTCCTGCAATGTAGATTGTCCCACAGCTTCGGCTCAATTTTGACGTCTCCGTTTTTTCATTGGTCAAGTATCGTTTCGAAGCCATTGGACACGTTATTCAAGCTTTCTCTGACGTCTCTTTGCCATGTGGCAGGATCTCATCACGGTGAGCCCCGACAAGCTGCCCAACTACGAGGTCAAAATCAAGAGCTTCTTCGAGGAGCACATTCACACCGACGAGGAGATCCGGTACTGCCTTGACGGCAGTGGTAAGTGCCTTGTTATGCGACGCCGTTCTTTGTTAAGTACTCGACCCACTTTCCCGTTGGTTTATTCTGCTTGTCCGTCACTGTCTGTCAGTTCGTCGCTTCGCTTCTTCGTCCTTTCTGGTCATTGGTTGGTCTCGTGTTTCCGGTTTATAGGAGGATTACGATGAGAAGAGACGCTGACAACTGCGAATGGCGGTTTAGCACCTTGCGTGAGGCTCGTTTCGTCTCCCTTTCGAACGTGTCTTGTAGCCTATTGCGTGCCATACCATGTTCTTTTTGGCAAGCCGGTTCTTTGCAGTGAGACCCATCGGTTGAAGAGACGGCCACAGGTGGATTAGAGGCCTTCAGTTTGAATTGCTTCTACCGAGTGTACTTGCCAGAGGACATACACCAGTTTACCTTGTTGTGGGCGTAATTTGATTACCTGCCCGTCCCTCCAAGAATTCGAGTCGTTTGCTAGAAAGCAATCCTCGGTACATAACAAGTACTTTTGCCGGAATATCTAGTTCTTGTCTTCTTCGAGCTTGTTTCTGCAAAGAAGAAACAGATTCTGTATTCTTACATCGGCTTTCGCCCGTGTCCCTAACGTCTTTTCCAATGACCTTTTACTTTCGTCTGTCCTCGCAGGCTACTCCGATGTGCGGGACGCGGACTACAAATGGATCTGCATCCTGACTCAAAAAACGACCTCATTATTCTGTCTGTCCTCGCAGGCTACTTCGATGTCGTGACGCGGCCGAAAAGTGGATCCGCATCCTGGCCCGGAAGGGCGACAATCTGACACTGGCGATCGTCCTTATCCCTAATTACCTTATACTTCAGTCTGGCAGGCTACTTCGACGTCCGGGACGCAGACGACACGTTTCTTCTGTCAGCTCGTTTCTGCAAAGGAGAAACAATCTCCTCTTTTTCGACACTGGCTGTCGCCCGTGTCCCTAACATCTTTTCCAATGACCTTAGACTCTTGTCCTTCTTTGCAGGCTACTTCGATGGGCGGGATGTAGACGACAAATTGTTTGTCTTTTGTACATTTGAGAAACTAGTAGGCCACTTCGATGTCCGGGACGCGGGCCGACAAGTGGATCCGCATTCTGGTCCGGGAGGGCGACATTTTGACACTGGCTGTCGCTCATATCCCTAACGTCGTCTTTATTCACCGTATCCTTCTGTCTGGCAGGCTACTTCGATCTGCGGGATACGGACGAAAAAAACCTTTCTTTTTCAGCTCGTTTCTGCTAAAAAGAATCAGATTCTATTTTTGACATTCGCTATCGCCCCTTTATCTTCTTTAGTGAGCAAGCACCACTTTGCCTGCTACACACGAAAGAAGCCTGGTACACACGAAAGAAGAAAGATGCCAAAAGCGAACTCGCAGGAACTAGGCAAGCCCGGGAATGAATACTTTGTCCGTCATTGCAGGCTACTTTGATGTCCGGGACGCGGACGACAAATGGGTCCGCATCCTGGTCCGGAAGGGCGACATTTTGACACTGGCTGTCGCCCATCTCCCTAACGTCGTCTTTGATTACCGTATACTTCCGTCTGGCAGGCTACTTTGATGTCCGGGACGCAAATGACAAGTGGATCCGCATCCTGGTCCGGAAGGGCGACATGATCGTGCTGCCAGCGGGCATGTACCACCGCTTCACCCTCGACGAGAACAACTACATCAAGGTGAGGCGGGACGACCACAGCGGAACGGATTCCGCGGGACGGCCACAGCGGAGTGGTCAAAACTGTCTTTGAGAGACTGTGATGGCTAAGGTCCTTATTCGGAGTATTGCTACCCAATCATAGTGGGAGCACCGAAAACTACCTCTCGTTATTCGCGCAGCCTCCTCTTTCGCTGACGCCCTTTCAAAGGATGCTTTGAATCGTATTGGCGTGTCCTGGGGGACTATGTCGTTGGACGGACCGTATTGCACTTCAAATCCTGCTCGGCGGCCATTGTAATTGTTTCTGCGGTTTGTGGTCGGAGGTGTTACAGGCCACAGGATGCGCTCTTTCAGGTGCTTCCTTTCTGTTTCTCTGCTCAACCCTCCACGCTTTTGATGAGCAGCCTTGTACGAGTATGGCAGGTTCTATAATCATTTGCGGTCCATCAGGTAACCCATGCAACAAGACACCTTTCACGCTCGTCTACTGAGATGATGTATTGCTGACGTCATTCGTCGCTTTTACATGTACAGGCTCTGCGGCTGTTTGTTGGCGAGCCAGTATGGACTCCCATCAACCGGCCGGTGGATGATCACCCCATCAGGTAACGGCAACTTTTCAATCTCTAGTCCTTATCTCTATCCTCCTTTGCGTCGTCTTACTCCGTTTGGCCGCAGTCAACATTTCGTGATTGGATTTTCCCTATGCTTTCGTGACAAATGCTGCCGCAGACCTTGAAGTATCTTGTCCGAAAGGTTTGGCGAAAGTTTCGTGTCTTCAGATCACTTTGTTGCTTTGACGACCTCCCACCACCGCCGTTCGAAATAGTCCCAAAGTCTTCATCACCACATCCAACCTGTTTTGTTTTTGCTTTGCAGGAAGTCGTACGTGGACGCATTCGTGCATAAGGCCCCAGCAGTGTCCGTGAATTGAGTTCGAACAGTCAGCAGTTGTCAAAGTTTTGAAAGATTAAAACCTTCAGGTAAGGTTTGTTTATAAACGAGAAGCATTTTCGTACAAGTTAGTAGCTTTACAGACTGTGAGTGCTTTGATGGCTTGATGATTTTTGTGAGTGACTTGACTAACGGATATTTGGACATGCCGTCGTGATTAGGTTGATGTTGCGACCATTTTTATAACAAAGGCTTGCCCCTACGGTTGGTATAGCTAACATGTTATGAGGGGCGAGGGACTCTATCGGCATCTTACGGCAGGATGGCCACTTTCAGGATAAACCAAAACCACCCCACTACCGAGCCCGGTCAACGACCAGGCTTTGCTTTAGTTTTTGTGGATGCATACTGACCAATATTTTTGTCCCGAACTTTTCTCAACTTCCGCGCTCGTCGGAGCTGATCGTACAATTACGTTTCAAGTCTGGATTGACCGTCGAAATAATCTGCCATGCCCGGAGGCGCCAGTCAATCATGCATGATCATTCACCGTGCCATGACCATAGGCGCCACTGGCCCGCAACCGCCGTCAATTCAATCAAAACCCCCATGCGCTAGCAATAAGTTGCCCTCTGCCGCTATCAGTGCATGACGGTCAGTGTTTATTGGTTTATTTCCAACGTGATCGATGAATATATCGACCCGACCACTGAGTCCATATTAAATCCATCCGGTCAATTCCACCAGGCTGGCAATTGTGAATTCTTTTAAGATTCGATTGAAATGGGCGGCGCCGGGCGCGCTGTAATAGGCCGCCTGTATGATTAAACGCTCAGTGGCATCTTTAACCATGATTTTCAACGCGGCAGTGGACCGCGATCGGCGTTTGCGCATTGTCGATCAAGGAATATAACTAGCTCGATCATGCATATGCATGATCGCTATGTACGTATATAGTGATACAGGTACATACACACCGTGTTTACGACACGACGTACGTACTAAAGCGCTATATATAGGTTTGAGCTCAACCTAGTAGTGCATGCAAGTATCAAAAGGAAATCATATATATATGATGATCATTGAGGAATTAAGCACCGAATTCGCGGTCTGTTATATTTCATGTTCCTCCATCCGCGACCATGCAACAATTAATAGTATACGAAGGCCATTGCCGCCATGAAGTTCGTGGATGCGCATGTGGCCATAAGCTGTCCCGCAACACCGTGATAACGTATTCAATGAAGCGATGTGAACATGATGCATGACTCGAGACGGTAATGTGATGTATTGATGCAGTATGTATAGAAAGTCACTACGCGGTAGATCAAAGAAGCCTATAGGTAGCTGGCATGAGAAGCTAGACGGTAGAACGACGCTGTGGAACATGCAGACTGCATGACCAGAGCTGAGCGCTGTTCTGGAGATCGCTTCAAGTATTTGGGATTTACTCTTAAATAGTTAAAAGATTCAGACGATTAGGGTTTTTAAGGCATTCTTTTGCGTGCGCTCATGCATGAACTTGATAGTATGCATGAGTGCGACTCAAAACCCTAATGGACTCTAGCTGAAAAGAGAACAGGGAACATCCCAATTTCCAGTTCTTTTCAGCGTTGCGATCAGATTCTCTCCATCATGGCGCTGCATTTGGGTGCTCGCACGCTGGGCCTGGGCAGGCTGGTTCAGCAGGTTCTCAGGCCTGCCAGCGTCGCCGCTTTTCAGGCAGAACCCGGTCAATTGCTAGCGGAATGCAACGTGACAGACAGCGTTTACGCAGAGGGCACTGGGTCGCAATTGGAAGAGAGTTGCTTGCTCCTTTCTCTTCCCCCATTGCAACGCTCTGGTGGTAATGGTAGGGTGGCCAATGCAGTGAAACCTTCTGTCCACTTTCGAACTTTGGGTACTGACGCGGCGGCAGCAGTAAGTGAGGCGGGTGGCCGGGAAAGCAACGAAGAGTTTGCAGAAGGGAATGTTGAAGAAAGCGATCAGACGGCATTGCAGCAGGAGAAGGGTGAGCGGAAGGACATTTCGTGGGAAGACGTTGAGCGGCCGCGAGAACGGACGCCACCGCAAAGTGATCGGGGACAAAAACCGCGCCGGCCGTCGGCACGGTCCCGGCTCGAGATGCGCGGGAAGCTCTTGAATGCCCTCAGGCGGTGGGCCCCGGACGTGGACTTGGATGCTCAGCTACCGGACGGGAAACTAAACGGAAAGGACATTGACGTTCGCGCGCTGCGAGCAGTCATCTTCCAGATCGCAAAGGGGCCAGGGCGGGCTCGTAGGGTCACCATCGAGGGGGAGGAGGCGGACGAAGGCCCGCAGTATCGGTGCTCGCAAGATGACGCGAGGCGGGCGTTGAATGCGTTTGAGTGGTGGCTGCGACGGGATACCGGGGCTAAGAAGGATCCGCTGGAGGATTTGTTGGATCCGCTGCTGCAAGTGCTGGCGGCGGCGGGGATGGGGGATGAGATCATGGGCTTGTGGGAGAAGTAAGCAATCCTGGGCTGTTTTCTCTTTACCAGAGTTCAATGAAATTGTCGTGATGAGAATGTTACATGGGGGACAAGGTCGCGCTATCCTTTCAGAAGAGAGATGTTCAAGTGGGAATGTGGGCTTGTTGTAGAAGTCAGTAGCCTTGGCGCTGTTCTTTGCAATGAGGAAAAGGAACATAGGGATGGAGATCAGAGTGTGGTTTTGTGGGGGAAGTAAGCGGTTCTGGCGCCCTGGCGGCGTTTTTAAAACATTAGTCAATCTGCGATCATGACGGATTGGAGTCAACTTACAATTTCAGAGAGCGCACCTCTGACGCTGCTTTCCCTCCTCGACAGGAGATGAATAAACTTGCTATCAGGAGGATCATACACACTTTCTATTGACATGCTTCTTACGAAGAACACCCAACGCTTCATAAACAATGACTGATACAGAAATTACAGGAGAGTGGGGCAATTCTTCCAATTTTGATACTCCATCGACGCAGACAGGATGCATGAGTAGTTGAATTTCATTTGCACTTCTGATGTTCCTGCAATTGCACGCTCGTAGACTGCAGTTTTCGCTTGTCGTAGATAGACAATGATCTCAGCACCGCTCTCCTGCTGATTTGAAGTGTTGCAGATTCCGAATCTGTATTTGGTAGCGGCTGGTCGAGCCTGAAGTTTTCAAAGTTCCTTTCCTCAAGTCCTGAGTATACCAGAGTTTGGGGCTTCTTCTGAGGACTCTTCATGATCATTCACGTCACCAAGAAGTTTCGTCCTCAACAATCAAAGTTGAATATGGCAAAATCTTGTCGTATGTGATTAAGCCTTTTTCTCTCGCTTGTGGTCTTACATCCAGCTTTTATCTCTCGAATTTTTCTTTGTCAAGCTTGACTTTTGTTGTACCCGTTCACCCTCATTCCAGGCTCTTGGAATAAACACGGACGAAGGATTCAATCGAAAAGCGAGAATAGATTCAAGCTTCTTCTCCCCAGGCCATGCCTTCTAATTTACGTCCCGCTCTAAATGACCCGTTCCAAGGCAACAGGAATGACCGATCAAAGTAGAAGACCAGAGGATTCAAAAGAATGACACTCAATCAATATCTTCCACTAGGTACCGCTCTCTTGCCGCCAAAGGCAACGACATGGTCGTCCAGCAGTTTCTCGGCGCGTGCCTCCACTCCAACATGCCCGAGAAAATCGTCCCGATGTACGAGGAAGCCCAGGCGAACCGCTGGCCGATGCGCATGAAAGCTGCCGACATGGTCGTGCGCGCGATGCACGAGCTGCGGCGCCCGCGCGACGAGATCCACGCGTTCTACAAGAGCTGGGTCGAGCAGACGGGGAACGAGCTGAATCAACGGCCGGCGTTCGTCGCGCTTCTGGAGTCGGGTGTGACCGTGGAAGAGATCCGGAGCATGAAGTATAAGGAGCCCTCGCGCGTCGCGAACCGGCTGATACAGGCGCTCTCGACGATCGGAAGAACGGAGGAGGCGCGGGTGATCGTGCAGGAGATTTTGGAGCCGGAGGGGGGACTCCAAGCGCTGGGGGTGCTAACATTGGTTTCAATGCTCAGGTACAGAAACCAGTTTTCAAATTCTCTGTTTTCGATTTAGTATCAAAATATGTGAGGGTCTCATGCTAGTTCTATGCTCAAGCACGTGGCCAGTTTTCCCACCGAATCCTGTTCTCTGCACGTCAAATTCCAGTGTCAAAGGAGCTGGCAGTCTCATGCAAACAAACAAACAGGCGTGCGGCTCGAAGGCACGTTGATCGTGGCCCTTGACCCTGACAATCCTAATCTTGAATCGAAACGGCGAAAGGAATCATACGGGCCAATTTGTTGTTCACAGGACGCTGATTCACTCCGGGCTCGCTCGCAGCTGAGGCGCAACCAATCGCAGACAGAGGAAGAATCAGGCTTGGGGCTCGACGGCGCCCTATTCATGTTTCTGAACTCTTACAATCTTAACTTTGAAGATCCTCCTTCTGAATCCTGAGCGTCAGATTGAGCTTCTGAAACCCAATCCCGACTTTTGCAGGACGCTGATCCACGCTGGATTCGTAGCCAAAGCGCAGCAGCTCGCAGACCGGCACAACGAACTAGGGCGTGCGCTTTGAAGGCACCTTGATCGTAGCCCTTAACCCTGACACTCCCAACTCTGAACTCAAACGTTAAATCAAACTTATAAGAGCCAATCTTGTGTTTACAGAACGTCGATTCACTACGGTCTCGTAGCTGAGGCGCAACAACTCGCAGACAGATGAGGAACCGGGCGAGGGGCTCGATGGCGCCCTACTCGTAGCCCCGAACCCTGACAATCTTAGCACTGACGATCTTCATTCTAAATCTTCTCAGCGTCGTATTTAAATTCTGAAACCCAACCCCGACTTTGCAGGACGTTGATCCACGCTGGAGTCATCGCCGAAGCCCAGCAACTCGCGGACCGGCAAGAGGAACTAGGCGTGCGGCTCGACGACGCGCAGAATTGGTCTTTAATCGACATGTTTAACCCTAAGGATTACACGCCGGATCCAGAATCTGACAAAGCTTAACCTCCCTTTTGCAGGACGTTGATCCACATTAGATTCGTAACTAGCAATTCGCGGACAGGCAGGAACAACTAGGCGTGCGGCTCTACGACGCGCAGAATTGGTCTTTAACGCGGAAAATTGTAACCCTGAAATTCACAGACCGGATCCAGAAGTTGCCTAGATTCGCTACTGCAGGACGTTGATCCATGCTGGGATCATAGCCGAAGCGCAGCAACTCGCGGACAGGCAGAAACAACTAGGCGTGCGGCTCGACGGCGCGCTGATCAAAGCCTTCAACCCCAATTATCTTAACCCTGATTTTTATTGTCAAACTCAAACCTGACAGCTAACCTCGTGGTTTCAGGACGTTGATCCACGCTGGGTTCATCGCCGAAGCGCAGCAACTCGCGGACAGGCAAGAAGAACTAGGCGTGCGGCTCGACGGCGCGCTCGCGTACGTTCTGAAGACGACGGAGAAAGTGCAGACGGGGCTCGAGGCGTACCGCACGCTGCAGGCGATCGAGGGGCCGCACAGGCGGAGCTTGTCGGTGCAATCGATGCTGATCAAGAATGTCTATGCGAAGCTGAACCAAACGGAGCTCATGTATCAGGTGGGGTTTCCTTCAAGTCTTATTGCTCCAAGCTTGATTTCATCCCGATTCTGCTGACGATTTGGCAGGGATGCTGATTAAGAATGTGTATGCAGAGCTGAATTCATCGGAACTCGTGTTTGAGGTGGGCCTTCCGTGGAGTGTGATAGTTCCTCACGCGCATCTTTAAAACCGTCTTCAGTTGTGCTGACCTCAAGCGCATCTTCAGAACCGTCTTCAATTCTGCTGACCATTCTGGCGGGAAAATGTGTTGCAGAAGGATTTTTAAAGGTGATCATTGGATGAGCTCTTCCATGGGGCTAACTTGTTTTCTTTCGTTGAACCGTGTATGCAAGCTGGCAGTCCGTTCTCGGCTTGAAAAAGAAAAGACTGCGCTTCTAAATCGGTCTGCGTGCGTGAAATTGGTTGGGAGGATTTAAACACGACAGGACGGAGCAATGCCCTGCGCAGTAGGAAGCAGATTTGGATCATCAACGCGTGGCAAAGCCTAAGCAAAAGAGTATATATGCACTGACTCTGTCCTGGTCTCGGCAGGTGTACCTGGCCGGAAGCGAGTTTAGGGGCCAGTTTTATACGGGGCATTTTTTCCTAACATGTTACCAACTTGCGCAGGTGAAGGAGAGAAGCCAGTCAAGCTTTCGGGTTACGGCACAGGCAAAAGAATCTAAATGCAGTAACCCATTTGCGAACCCTGCAGGCGTACTTGGCTGGACGGGAGTTCGAGGGCGAATTCCACGCGGGCATCCTCTCTGACGTCATCCAACGGCTGGCGTTGGCCAACCGGGTCGCCGAAGTGGAAGAGGTGCTGGCGGACTACTTCCGGGCGCGGCGAGAGTCGCAGGACGTCTCGGTCCTCCCCGAAAAAGCCTTTGAGGAGTGAGGAATGCTTTCCTTTGTATTCAAAAAACAATCGGTATTGATTTGGTCTCGTCAGCAATCTGCTCGTTTGCACCAAGAGCATCGCAGGGCGCAGCGGGAAACGCAGGACGTCTCCGTCCTCCCCGAAAAAGCCTTTGAGGAGTGAGGAACCCTTCCCTTTGTTTTTCGATTTTGGGATTGGTCCGGTGTTGTGTACACTTCGCTAATTTTCAAGAAGAACTTTGTAGGGCGCAGCGGGACACGCGGGACGTCTCAGTCCTCCCCGAAAAAACCATTGAGGACTGAGGAACTCTTTCCTTTCTTTTCAAAGAAATGGAGATCGTTTTTGTTCCGCCGGATATCTTCAGGTTCTCCTGAAAATCACTGCAGGACGCGGCGAGAGACGCAGGACGTCTCGGTCCTCCCCGAAAAAGCCTTTGAGAAGTGAGGAACCCTTCCCTGCTATTACACGTCCGGGATTGATTCGTTTTTCTCGACACTCTGCTAATTTCCACGAAGGGCATTGTAGGGCGCGGCGAGAATCTCAGAACGTCTCAGTTCTCCCCGAAAAAGCCTTCGAGGAGTAAGGAACCCTTTCCTTTGTTGGTTGAAGTCCGGGATCGGTTCGCTTTTCTTGACACTCTGCCGATTTTGATGAAGAGCTTCGTGGGGCGCGGCCCGAATCGCAGGACGTCGCACTAACGCCCGAGCAAGGCTTCTGAGGAATGAAGATCCGTTTCCTTTTGCGAACCATTGCGAATTTTACCTTTTTCTGCGGCGAGAAACACAGTATTGCGCGAGAAGGCTCCAGAGGAGCCAGAAGCTTCCTTTTTTTGTTCGAGAGTCGGCCTCGTTCTCTCGTTCGCCAGCGGTTTGCTGACATTAGTCCCGCAAAAAACACTACAGGCTTCGACGTGAGATGCAGGACGTTGAAAGTATTGCTCGGAAAAGCCTTCGAGGAGTTTCGGAACCACTTCCTTCTTACAAGACTCACAGAATGTAATTTATCCTCGAGTGAGCGACATGCTCATCTCAGACTCGCAGAAAGACGGGAGCCCGTAACCTGTCACACTGAAGAAAACCTTCGATGAGCGAGAAGCGAACCAAAGTGCAAGAGCGTATTGCTATTTCTGGTCTCGAGCTGCTCTTCGGTCCAACTTCGTCGCTATCCACCGCCTTTGCCTTTGGTATTGGACGCTTCAAGACTCTCCGCTACATGGTGCGAAACTAGAGTTGCAGGATTTGTGATTGCCATTCCTTCCATTCCCGTAACTTGCGAAGGTTTTAATTGACTGCATTCGTCTCATAGCTCGCACCTGCCTTTGTCCGCTTTATCGCAATCTCGTTGCCCACATCCCGCGAGTCCATCGCGTTAGCCCACTCATTTTGCTGCGGTAGTAATTTCTCCGTTTTGCTGATCCAGTTGTCGAGTATGTATCTCTTGAGTGATCTTATGCAACGGCTTTTCTCATTGCACTCTGCTCTTCTGGTGTTGATATACCTTGCATCTTAATTTGCCCCTGACTGGACTCGGACTGGCACGGTAGGCTGCTCGGGCCCCTTGCGCCTGCGTTTCCTCCAAGTTGCATCACAGCGGCGACTTCGCAAACGAAAAGTCGAAGGCACACAGTATTGCTTCGTCTCTCTCGTTACTCACGAAAACATCTCTGATTCTTACCAGGATTGCCGAAATGTATCTACGAGACGCCCGGCCAGAAAAGCTCGTCGCGCTTGCAAAGGAGATGGTCAACCAGAACCACTTCGTTGCCAGCGGCCTGATGACGCACTGGGCCAAGCTGCTGATTGCCGGCGACCTCATAGCGGAGTCTCAGGAGGTGCTGGACGCCCGAGACGTGATGAACGAACTGCGGGCAAAGTGGATCGAGAAGATGCGGAAAAAGGGGGTGTGGGTGAGTCGCCCGCGAAGAGAGACAGGGGAAGGGGAGAAAGTGGAAGCGGAAACGGAAACGGAAACGGAAGCGGAAGCTGAGAAGGGCGGCGAAAGAGCGGAGGAGGAAGAGGATGGACAGAGCGTGCAAGTAGAGAAAAGAAGATGACGTGTGTAGAGGGAAAGAGCTTGGGGTTTGTCCACGACCAGGAGTTTGATACTGGTGCGCAGAAAGCAACATCAAAGCGGACGTTATTCGAAGGCGTTTGAATTCGAGAGCTGATCAAGGTGAGCTAAATTCCAAGTAGAAGAAGAACTTAGTAACCAGGACAGGATTGAGAGCTTAGTTGGGTATTTCCCGCATGTTTGGCAAGCTCACCTCGAGGATCACGGTGAAAGGATGAAAATTTCAATGCGGACCATCCCAATCATCTTGGTAACCTTAAAGTGGGCGTCCGATTTCAAAGGTCCGGAAATGCACACTCCGTGCATCTGAGTCTTTTTTTAACGGACCAGATTGCAACTTCGACCAATTTAGGGCCCCACCACCGTAGATGGCCTTGGGGTGTCCATGCATGGCCTACGCCCACTTTAATTGCTCTGCGCGATCAGATTGAAGCACCAGAACCCAGTATCATTTGTCCGTTTTGGTCGGCGGACCATTGGCATGCATGATTGTTTGAAGGAGCCGCTTACCGTCTTATGAAGGTTGTACTTTCTTTGCATATGCTTCGACAACGTGAGCCCGATCCGAAGTCCACCTTGGCACCTACAGTAACACGTGTGTGCGCGACGGTTAGCAATCGTTGGAAAGTGCTCCTAGCTTCTATCCGACGGCACGGGATCGCTTTGATCGAGTTGCAGATCTTCCATCACGATCTCCGGTCACTGACTCAGGCCCTGGAAAGTCATTGTGCATGGCACTGAGTCTAAATCGTACTATAGTAAATTACCAGCGTATAATGCAGCTCGGAGCAGCTCCCCATGTCGTCAGGTTTCTAAATGAAGTTCAGCCTGAGCGAAGCCCACCAATTGAACCGCTAGCTAGATCTGGACAATGACTTGCGATGTATAGCTAATATCAATTCGATGCCATATGATCCAGTCATGCGCAACACTTCAAGCCAAATGCAAGTACAATATGCATAATGCATAATCATATGTGCATATAACAATTCTGTTTCGCATGTACCCGTATATATACTTTACGCTTGCGGTACAGATTTACTAAGCATTCCAAGCTCTGCGTCACATCGCGACACAGGCTTGACTACTGCATGAACGTACGTCGAAGTTTGTAGGTCAAATTCACTTTGCGCGATGATCATCAGTGACTCGAGTCGAGTGGATCGTCAGTGCAAGCCGGATCGACACCCCAGCCTGGCAGCCTGCCATGGTAATGCTAGTACAGTACATTTTCAAGTTTACCTTAGCTAATATGGAATTCAATATTGCAAAGCTTCTTTATCAAGCCTGCTCGTCGTGAATAATCAACGGCGCACAGGAATCATTGCAAGTATCTTGAGCTTATGTACGTATAATTTCGTATCGAAATCATTACGATCATCTTCCACGGGTTCCTTTATCGAGAATGGCTATGACACAATGATGCGGGCCAGCTCCGTTTCACGTGTCGACGGACATGCAAATGGTGAATTGGGGCAGACTTGTAGAGTAAAGCTTTCAAATATCAAATGTGAGGAGGCTGTTCCAACAATTCGATCAAGCTCGTTTGTCCATAGGCTCGATCGAGCAATAAACCAAAAGGTACTTGAAAGACTTCTTTGAAAGACTTCTGTCTTTCAACACTAATTTGAATCAAATCTTCCTAGAAGCCTAGAATCAATAATATCGCCAATGTCTAATGTCCAGAAATGTTTCAAGAGCTATTTGAAAGACATCTGTCTCTCGATGCTAGCTGGTTGTATCCAACAATTCACCTGAGCTGCAAGCAATGTGAGAGCTCTAGCTACTGTTCTGATAAATTGCTACAGACATCTGTGCAAGCTGTCAATTGACGGACGGCGCAACCGACTGGCACACCTCCTTGACCGTGCAGTAACTATCCCTTAACTTAGTCCCAAACCCCGCAGCTGCAGAGAGGGAAGCAGTTTCCTATGTCGAGAATAATCTAGATTCAAATCTACAAGTTATCAATATTAGAGGACGAGACCGCTTGGTCCGACCTTTGAACCGTGCAGTTACCAGTACCCTCGTCAATCACAATCAGCTCCGCAGCTGCAGAGTCTAGAGGATTGAAGTATAAGACTACCTTCTGTCACACTCGAATATACCTGGCTGCTCCGCAGGTAACTTGCGGCTGCAGTTCAATCACCTCCCGTCAGAAGCAACACCAGATTGGAACCTATAAATACCCTTAGTTTCGAAGAAGCCTAAGGTCCCCAGATAAAAGGCAACAGTTAGAGAACCCCCACGACTGCAGAGGCTGCTCCCTAAAACCCTAACACTCTAAACCCTAAAACCCAGGTTAGCACCAAGCTTGGACGTTTTGGTAGACGTTGTAGACTTGGCCCGTTTGCCAGATGTCAGAGTCAGGGAGGGGGTAGCCGGTCGTCGACAGCGAATTTCCGTCCTTCAGAGTGATAAGCAGGTCCACCCCGCCCTGGCCGCCGAGATTTCCGGTAGGCATCCACCACGTGCCCCACCCGTTCACTTTCGCGCCAGATGTGAAGCCGCCATTGCGGGTCCTGAAATTGACGCTGGAGATCTCCCCGACGCCCCCCACACGGGAGACGACGACAGCCTTCGCCCACTGGTTGTATGCCTGCGTGCGGACGACGACTGCATTGTCGGGGTAATCTGCAAGAGCACGGGAAGGGGGGGGCGGTAAGCAAGGCAACTAAGGAGGTGACTGATTCGAGAAGGAATGCTCTTGAAGGGTCAGTCTCGCAATGCCAGCGGCTCAGATGTAACAAATAATGAGATTGACCATGCGGCAGCTCAGACCAAACAGACAATGCAGGTGCAGGACGGTCGACAAACACAACGGGCCAAGCTGTGATTGGCGCATCCCTGAGGGAAAAGAACATTTGCCCTGCAACTCTGAAGGAAAGAGACTGCTCTAGAGAGGGTAGCTAGGTTGCGGGGTCTTACCCGGTGCCCCCATGCACGAGCAGTCCACTCTGGTCCACGTGCCAGAGAAGATACCGCCGTGACTGCCGTCCCCAGCTTGGTTGTTGGTGAAGTAGTTGAACGACGGCAGGCACAGGTCGATGTGGTGCGGCCTGCCCTGCTGGGAGTCGTCATCAGTGATGTCAGTGATGACAAAGCCCCGGCTCTTGCCGTTGTAGCTGAGCACGCCGCACGCGCCGCATCCGCCGAGGTAGTCGTAGTTGCCAGACGCGGCGTGGTACGGATCTGCAGACATTGGTAGTGTAAGAAGCTCGAACTTGTCTTCGATTCAGAAGAAGCTGTTTCGGGACCTTGCAGCTGACTGTTTATTCTCGCATTGCAGACATTGATTGAATAAGAAGCTCATAAGAAGCTCAATTGGATCTCGCAGCTGACTGTTTATTCTTGCAATTAAAGACATTGATTGAATAAGAAGCTCATAAGAAGCTCAAAATTATTCATAAGAAGCTGTTCTGTGATCTCGCAGCTGACTGTGTATTCTTGGGATTTGCAGACATTAATTGGTTGATACATCCAGTCAGTTTCTGCTGCCAGTGTGTTTCGTGCTAGCTTCTGAGTAGGTCTGAGCTGAAAAGTAGCAAGTCAGAGAAAGAACAATCAAAGATATAGCATTCACTTCAGTCCTTCAAGTTGCACCACAGAAGAGGGCCACATCCTCGAAGCTTGCTGACTCCAGATCCTTCAATGGAAATCTTGCAAACAGCGGAGAGACTAAAAGCAAGACTATACACAGCTGATAAACATTGCAGGCAGAGTGAGAAGTTTCTTGCAACCATTGAATAACACGTGACACTCTCACTCGGAACACGAGAGCAGCTAGAAAGAGGCAGATGAAGAGATGATCTATCTCGGCAATCCAGGCAGCCTTACACAGAGAGGTCTCCACAAAAGGGCCGCCACCTCCGTAGGCGTTGCCCCCAACGTCATTGCCGTACCCGCATTGCCCATTTCCTGAGGAGGCAGAAGAGACGTGGGTCTGTCACAAGTATTAATGAAGGCACATTGTAAAACTTGCAGAACCATTCCTTGAATCTGACTTCCTCGAATTTGAGTAGGCTGAGGCGGGCAGCAGACATTACATCGTAGTCAGGGGCAGCAACGCTCCACCTGCCTGATGCTGAGATCTGACTCAAGTGATCCACAGGCAGCATATAACATATGCGGATGCGTAATCTGCAATCTGTTTGAAGCTTGATTTGAGACCACAGAGCATCTTGAAAGCGAATGAGTCTCAGCTGGGCAAATCTGTCAAGCTCCACAGCAGCTATTGTCTGACTACATTCGTTCCACTATATCTGGGGGCATAAGAATACCTAGATGATCAGGCCCAATGATTCCAAAGCCTGATCCGCGCTCAAAGCACAACCTATCTGTTACAAGACTCAGGGCAGGGCATGGCATTCCAATCAGATCAGAATGTGCACAGATTGAGCTACACATTGATTAGATCAGAAAGCTCACCAGTTGTGCAATCCATGCCAGGTGAATTGTAGAAGGTCACCGTGACGCCAGCGCTTTGACCAAGCCCCAGAGCCTTCCTGCGGGGCGCCTCCACCGTCTCATTGTAGAACTCAAACTCGTGCAGTGCCTCATTGTATGCAGCCACCGGGACGGTCCTGGTTTCCTGTGACTCGACGAAGATGCTGTCTCGGGCAGCCACAACGCCGCATGCGAAGCAGAGGGCCAGAAGGGCGGAGGCGAGGAGCTGGCTCGCCGCCATTGCGCGAGAGAGGAAGGAGCTGAGTGAGCTAGGCGTGTAAACAAGAATCAGCTGTTTATGGGAGTTCCAACGTTCATGCGTTCCACCTCTTCGCCTTTTGAGAAGTTTGAATCCGCATTACGTATACGGTGTTTTTTTACCCTATCCTACGGTGTAGGTACGAACTACCTGTACTACCAGGGACCGTACTCAGCGGTATCACCGCGGACAGGAGTCAGGACTCAGGAGTCAAGAGTCGAAAGTTCTGAGAACTTAGAATGGCCGGTACATCTTTGTACTCCGGTACACTGTAAGGCGGTGTACCATGGTACGGCCGTCGGCAGTATCTACGTACATCAAAGCCACGGCATTTGCTGCAATCTTGCCAACCTTGGCCGGCCGAATCCAACCGGTCCAACCAGGTACCGAGCCGGTCACACAACCGGTCACACACGGGGCCGAGTTTTCGACATGAGCCGTCACACCAGCAGAGCCCAGGGACCTCCAGGCCGACCAAAATACCGTCCGGTCCGAGGGGCATTTAATCTACCGGACATGAGGTACCGTACGGTACATAATAGGTGGCGTTTGCCGACCGATTCAGTTTCCAAAGCTCCAACCGATTGACCGGGACATAGTCGGCGGCCTGGGAAGCCGAGTCCCGACATATTTGCGAAAGTAGGTTTCGAACGCTGATCGATACCGAATTCCTGAGTTCCGGCCCCCCGGGGCCGGGCCCAATCGACTGCCCGGGCAGCAAATGCGAGCCGCCGCGCAAGCTGCGTGCCGATCGGTTTGAACGGTTGCTTTCAACGGCCCTCGCACTGCACAGGTACCTACCTATATAGTATACGGTATACCGGTAGATCTACGTCCTTAGTACCGCACGCACTCATATTTAATTCAGTGCCGGTGCCGCCGTGCCACTGAATGAAGAGCGAGCGAGCGAACAACGCATCAACGGCGAACGCAGACTGGGCATGTGCCGCCTGACAGAGAGCGTACGGTTTTACCGTACAAGGCCTGAGGCAACTACCGTACAATGCACACTGCACAGCGGTACTGCTGTGTACGGTACTCTACAGTACCTATGTTGTACTGCGCAGAGCGATGGCCCGGTTCATTGCTGCCGCAAGCGCTGGCATCAGACAGACGGGAGCGCCGGTGCCCGGCAGTATGATTCGTACCGCAGTAGGTATCCACGTACTACGGTAAACAGTGAGTCTGACGTCTGAACAACGTAACTCTGACAGCGCAATCGCTTACTGGTACCGGTACCTATGTTGGAGAAGGATCTAATGATCTATCATCTGTGGTTGAACGGTTATCGGGTGCGGCGGGCAAAATCTTCGAGAGTCGCCCCGCCCGCATCCGCTGCATTTGGCGCTGTCGAAAACGACAAAAATAGCGAGCGCTCTGCGGCGTTCCGGGATCATCGCCGGAGTCCGGGCAGCTCGGCTGGGCCTCAGGCCCAGGGTTTCCAAGGGACTTTTGTCCCGGCCGGCTGGCTGCCGACACCCCCCCGGTTCTGTCGGCTCGGTAGTCGGCAGTTGGCTTTACCGGCCGGCTGAGCCCAGCAATTGCCTGCCTTTTCTGCCGGCCAACCAGCCGGCGGGGTGCCTTCGGCACCGGCCGGGGTCTAGTCTCGGCCGGGCCAGGTCCAGGTTCTCTTGCCGGCTGTGGGAAACCCTGCTCAGGCCCCGCTAGCTGATCATTGAAGCTCTGACTGATCCGATCTGACTTCGAAGTTCGCAGTGCCGCGCAGATTACCGTACCGCCAAGGGAAATCGCCTGGAAAATAAATATTTTGGGGTCGCTGCGAAATGTTAGAAATTGAATGAGACCCTAACTGCGAAAAGGCGAAACTAAAGAATTACCTCAAAATGGTGAAAAGTCCTGTTTTGCAAGGCAAAAAAAGCAAAAAAATGCTTTGTGCGAAATGTAAAATAAATTCTCAAAGCGTCAGGTGAAACCTCAAAACGAACGAAATTAACTTTTCGCACCAAAAGGTGGCGAATTCCCTTGGCGGTACGGTAGACAGGAGCTAGGACAGGAAACAAACCAATCAACATTTCATAATTTCAGAGGAGATATAATGGTTTGAACGTTTCAGAGAGGATTCCATCATCTCATTTAGCGAATCGGCATCGAAGTTATTACACCCAATCGGTTCTTTATCTAATCTAGTACCTAACCAAGACAAGAGAGGGAGAAGGTATCCCGAAGATATCTACCGGTACTATCTAGGTATCTTCGCAAACGGGGGTCCGGACTCCGAAGTTCGGATACCTGGAATCCAGATGCCGCGCGTCACGATTATTCAATGATTTATACTGACAAGGAGCCGCCGCGCCGGCATGGCGCTGACGACGGTCCGGGGCGGGCCCGGGCGACCCGGGCGGGTCGGATCAAGAGATCAAAGACTGAGAGCATTTGTCAGGTTCCCGTCAGGTTACTACCTAGTTTGCCGAGGTGCCGTAAACAATAACTAATATTACTTCAGAGCGAGCAGCTAGTACCGTAATAAAACCTCGCACTGTGATTGGCGGAATGCCAGTGATCATTGCGCAGCCTTCGAGTGTACCCTGTGTACTTTGAGAGGTTCCACAGTCAAACCCATCGATCAAATCATCAATGTCCAAACTTGTAGTGACAATGTCAACAATCAAGAGGCAGAGCATCAGCCAAGCCCACTCCCTGTGCGGGGATGCATGGCCCAGCTCCGACACAACTCGTCAAGACTTGACTCGCTTGCGCCGTTCGCATTTGTTGACAAGTTTAACCAGAGATTGCAGGTCAGTGAACAGTTGTTCTACGATTTGAAACATGGCATCATATATACGTGTGCACACGGTGTGGATGAATTTTTGATCCGAGTGACCGGTCAACCAGTGATCAGTCACCGAGAAATCGCAGCTGCCCTCATTTGTTCTCGCCTACCCTAGTCTCTAGTCTGTGCCAATTCACGCGCCATGTCACTGAATCGGGTTGTCAGCGCCAGGAAGTTTCTGGACACAAAGAATTCTTGTCGAATCATTTGAATGCTCGAACGCGTGACCCAAGTGAATGGGCATCATCACAGTTTGCATATGAGGCTGACATGCTGAGATCGCCAGGCTCAGAAGAAAAGAGATACCTACATTGAAGATAATCATTGATACGGGTTCACGGACTAGGGCATATATATAGAATGTGACAATCAGTCTGTCAATTCCGCCTATAGGACGGGCATGCGCGTTCATCGAACCACAGGCCGAGGGCAAAAGTAAATGCTGGGTCACTAAGTCAGGTTCCGAGTCCTTGAAGTAAAAGGCATAATGAGCGGTGAGCCAAGTGCACACACTTTCGAATTCACTGGCATCTATAATTCGTGGCTAGCTGATATAGAAGACATTGACAAATGGTTTCACATGATAGAGCGTCGGGCGACTAGTAGTAGTCACTGGAAGTTGGTAACCTTGCAAAGCTGGATGCCAACCGACTTTGAAACTTGCAACAGTAGGCCCCGGGCTCCCCTGAGAGATTTGCATCTCGGTGGTATTTCTGCACATACTCTTGTTACGTGAAAACGGACTCCCTTTGAACGGCGGAGTCCGCAAACATCCAGGCCACCTCACCGACGTCGACCTAGTGACGCGTGATCCCTGTCGACTTTTCAAGGGACAGGCTCTTCGAATGCACTAATCAAGTTGGCTGGACAGATTTGGCTCTTTAGTAGACATCATTCTTATCAGAACGTTCTGGTGCTACTAGGCACGGCCCACAACTATAAATTGTGTGATCATCTCCAACGCCTTTGAGATATCGCGGGTACTAAGCGACTGACCCGAGCATTGATATAAAGCCTCTCCAGATCGTTGTCAAAAGATGCAAACGGAACGCGCCATAGCGTCTCTAAGCGCTGCGCGCAAATTGGCTTCAACTTGAGTTGGCAAGAGCCGGGAGGCTGGCGCGTTGATAGAAGAGAAGCCGTTGATTTGAAAGGGCCACGATCCGACGGCCTTGTTGGGGCCATCTGCCACTTCACGGATGATGCACACGTCATCAGCGACCAGGGCTGGTTCAGTGTCCTGGTTGCGGTGCCACTGCCTGCGCGCGCGGAGAGGAATCTCATGGCTGCTAATTCAACGGGTCAGTGTGCGGCTTACTATGGCGAATCGTGTTTTGAAGAGGGGACCTTTGGATGAATGCAACAACTTTTACGTACTCCGGCCGCTCAAGCTCCGTCCGACCCAAGCAGATTGCCAGTCTTAGGGGCTTTGCAGATCTTGAGCGGATCGCAAAAGTTGGCGGATTGCACAACTTGGGCCATACTCCAGGAAGGATGCACTTTCGCGTACGGCTGATCAAGTGTGATTGCCAAGAGCAAACTCTGGTCAGGCGGCCAAGTAGGAAACTAGACTCGACATGCAAATGTTGAATTGACGAACTCTTCTTCGTTCTTTAGGAAAGCTACTGTGCAGAACCGTGGTTGTTGTTTGAAGGCCAATATCACGAAGCCACTGCCGTCAACAAGATGCAGGCAATCTTAAGTGCAAAGCTGAAGAAGCTGTTTGGAAAACATCGCAGAGACTGTGTTTTGCGAGTAGACCAAGGTGTCCCAAGCCCGACGTTCAGAGCGACAAACGAGACTAGGGCCTCAGTGAGGGCCTCAGTGACGGTTCTGACTATCTTCTATTTCTGTCTCGAATGCGAATCCTGCAAGACGAACAAAGTGGGCCGGCCCCCAGGTTACCCCGTTTGCTCCCCGCTTTGAGATCTAACCAAATCGCACACGGTACTTTCAGCGCTAGGCCGGATGGCAGTCCGCATCAGCATATGAGAAGCGAGTTAAAGCGAAGGCTCGGGTGAGTCTGCTGGGTTCTACTGGGTTCTGCCCAATCTCAAAAGAAAGTCACATGCGATCGCTCATGAACAGCGTGCGTACATTGAACTGATGAAGTCCAGCACCCTGTGCTCGAAGCTCGACTCCCGGAAGCGCTCCATCTGGGCTGGGCGGAGTAGCTGTAACCTGGGGAACTTTCCGAATTAGAGCCACTGCCAAGGATTTTAACGTCGTAGTTAAACAAACCCGGTATAGGAGAAGGGTCGGAGACGGTCGGGTCTTTCGGTACTTCCGTCTGGGGCGGACCGTACTTCAATAAGAAGAGAGCGCTTGAAGGTTGTCCGTAGTAAAGATTTATGACTCTGTCCTTACAGATTCCCAAATCATTGCATCGAAGTTGTTTGGAACTACCAGGCACCCGCCGTCGTGGTCTTCGTAACCCAGTAACCTGGGTTCAGAAAGTGGATACCAGGCAGATTAGGCGAAACATGTAGCTCTAGGAATCGACCAACGCACTCAGACTGCGGGCGTATTTAGAAGTACCGCTCGGGGTTGTCTTTGATGGGTTGAAGTTTATTTCTTGAAAACGGACGTGAAGACGGTCAAGGGCAGGGGTCAAGCAGCGGGAGCGGGCTTCCAGGTTCTGCGGTACGTTCAAAAAGGGAGTCGTTGCTAAAGCAGAAGGGCACCTAAGCAGCTACTGACGGCATGGTTTCTCTAGTTAGCTGCGTTGCGGGAACTAAGCGAACGGAAGCACAGCCCACAGACAGAAAACAGAAGGAAACGAGAAGGGCCGGTGATGCCCGGATGATGTGTATCGTTTGCGGCAATACGCTAATCTGGTCGGTCACCCCGGGGTTTAAAGCAGGAGAGTCCTTCCGAATTGCCCGCATCGCTGAGGACGAGGCGAACAGCGCCGCAAGAGTCGGAGCTGCATCCAAGAAAAGCGAACAGAATCTTTCAGTGAATGAACGTTAGAGAAAGTCGCTACGAACGGGCTCCCCTTCTAGGCCGCCGCTTATGGATTCCATAACAGAGACGTAATCAGGAAAACTTTCTTTCAGCGGAGCGCGAAGTAGGTGACCTGCTGCAGTTCTGAACGCGAAGCAAGAACCACCATTTTTGCTTCAAACAATCAAGGAATTAAGTTACGGCTGACATCATGGTGCCCAATACGATGTAGATGATCAGACGCATCGAGACGGATATGCAGGAGATACGTCCGTCTCTCTTTTGACACAGATTCAGAGCATTAAGGAGACGAGGACCGTTCCGGAGTTTCCAGCGGTTTCCGGCCTCGTTCTCTCTTTCTTGATTGACGCACTTTGCTAGCTCCGTGCACGCCACTTACGAAAAGCCTAAGAGACGAATATTCCTATAAGTTCCAAGCTGATACTAGAACGTGCGGGACAGGCTGCCGTGTCACTGCTTGACGTGTCACTGCTTGACGGTTGTGAATGGATGATTGTACGTACTAGCATTGTAGCCTCATCCCAGCTTGCTGATAGGTCGGAAATGGTGGTGAAAAGCGTCGTAGGAGTCGGTGGGGGGGTCGGGGTCAGCGTCGGTGTGGGGGTCGGGTTGGGCTCTGAGGCTGACGTCACTGGCGGTAGCGGTGGCGCTGGGGCTGACATCAGGAGCCCTGCTACTGGGGCTGAAGTCACAGCTGGCTGGACCCGGGCGCTGGACTGATGTCACTGGCTTCGGCGCTGGCGCTGAGAACACTGGCTCTGGGCCTCGGGCTGACGTCACAGGCGCTGGCCCCGGGGCTGAAAAGACTGGCTTCGACGCTCATGGGGTTGACGTCACTCGCGCCGACCCCGGGGCTGACGTTTGTTGCGGAGTATTTCCTGTAATTTCGCGAAGGCCACGAATCACCCAGGCCGAAAGGAACCAGCTTCGACTCAGAAATAAGGGACGGTCGACCGGATTTGGCGCAGCTTAGTACGATCTTCAACTTCTGCTTTTAGATATCCTCCGCTCGAAAGACGTTGCCTTGAATGTCATGTCCCTATCTTGGATGTGCTGCAAACAGGACGCAAGATTGGAGTGGCCCCTTTTGTAAGAGAGTGGCTATGCTAGTTTACTTTCGAACAATCAACATTGAACAGTCGACTTTTCGAAAAGTCAGAAAGGCCTAGACTTTGCGCGAGGAGGCCGTGTGACGTACCGCAAAAATTCACACAGGGTACGTTCGCTCGTACGAATGGACACAGCCTGGGAAACTGGAAAGAAAGCTTAAGTCTTCATTTGATCCTATTCTATATCACGCTGTGCTTGTTCTTCCAATCTTACAGGCCTTCCGCCTGTGTTCTCTTGAGGGCGAGAGCAAGCCGGAAAAAGAGCAAAAGATCAATTGTTCATCTGAAGGTTCAAGTTCGACTAAGTTCGACAAACGAGACCTTTCGGGTCCGCTCACAGGCGTGCAGCAAAGAAGAATGGGGAGTCGAGATGCGGTCCTGGCTCTTCGCTTTTCATCGGGCTAAGAATTCAGTTCGTTATAAGCCAGAAACTACATTCTCAACATTCCTAACTTGCCAAGGTGTCACAGGATCCTCTATCTCTGGAAGGGATTTTCATCCAGAGCGCTCAAAGACTCCGGCACCTCAACCAAATCCTCTGAAGTTTAGAAGGCCAAATCAAGCCGCTACGCATCTACGTATAAGCGCTCCTCAACCGGAGGATGTCAGCGCCGAATCGATACGTCAGCGGCTCCATGCTGACGCGCATGCATCTGCACGTACTGCTTGCAGAAGTCGGACGTCGTATATCACGGGTTATATATGGGAGTCTATCGCAACCGAGGGCGTAAGCGACCGGCTAACATTTTGCAGGTCATAAGCGAGCCACTCCCACAGAGGGGAGCTCAGCATACAGTCCATATAAGGGGAGAGGAATACGGTATGGGCAGGACCCATGCACGTCGCCGCTGTAGTAGAAGAAGGTCCCGTTGCTCGGCTTGCTGGGGTGCTGCTGCTGCCTGTACATTTGGTCAAGCTTTGCTGCCAAACCTTAGGGCTTTAAGTGGTGGTGTTACCGACCAGATAAATGGCAGCAAATTTGCACTTACTAATACCTACCAAGTCTAGCTGGCTGGTCGCTGGAACAGGGGTACAAAAGAATGGCCATGACACGATCACAGCTAGGAGGAAGGAAAGGTGAAAGTTCGGGACCGAAGGAAACTTGGAGCGTACGAACGTAGATATTCAAAGTCGATTTCCAGCATTGGCGCAACAGCAGAGCGAAACTGGGCCAAACGGGTATCACCAGAACGAAGTAAACTCTTGGACAGAAAGGAGGGATTACCAGGCACGGAAAGGAGGATATTGAGCAGGAAGGAAGAGACTAAGAGAATCAGGGACGAACGCAAGACAACCGGGGCCAGAATCGTGGAGCACAAAGACGAAGCAAGGAAAGTGGACGCGAAGGAGACGCACCAGGAGTGGAAAGAGTCTCTTCAAGAAATAAAACCAGAGACGTGACGAAGACAAAGAGGAACTCAGAAGGCCTCAAAGTTTTCAGGACGAAGGCTAGGAGTCGAGACGATCGAAGGACACGACCCGGGCACAAAGAGCTTGGGAAGTCGGTTGGCAGCGAACCAAACCAATCAAGAACCTTGAACACGAAGCAGGACCCAAGGAAGATAACTGAGAGTGGGTCGTGCCTTTCAGCGCCGGCGTCCCATGAGGGAAGCAGACATGAGATTGTTGTTTTTGTCGTTTTGCGTTTCGATCTCGTGATTGGCCGTGTAGTCCAAACAAGGGATCTGATTGAAAGATAGAACAATGCAATGAATCCAACGTGTCCCGTGGGAAGCGCTCTGTGGTTCGAAAATCAGATGAAGATGAAAAGGTCGGCGGAAGTGAGAATTCACCCCTGAAGATTCCGAGTCAATGCGAAAGCACATTGGGAGTCCCGCTCCTGACGCCTTGGAACTCTGATGAACAAAAAACTGGCAGAATCCGAAAGCTGAACTGTTGGTAGAGTCTCGACGCACAATCTCGTCTCAAACCCGCCGGGGTGACGAAAGCCGTCGTATTCCGACGGCAGATTCAATCTGACTGTGCCAAAAGTGCCCAGTCAAACACCCTCACAACTTCGCGGGAATCTTCACAGGCATAGAAAGAGACCAGTATGCAGTGCAGCCGCTTGGTACTCGGTCTGCTGGATGCACTCGCGGGCCCAACGCACTGGATCAAGATGAGTCATGATGCAGCCTTCCTACTTGCAAACAAGTCGAGCGGGCAGCCACGTGCAGCGCCATGCCCGCGCCATGTCAGAGGATAAGAGGAGCAGGAGCGACGCCAAGCTAGCCAGAGAAGTAGCCTCCGACCATTCCCTCTCCATATCTCCAGCGAAGGAAATGCGATCGTGACCGGTAACCGGAATCCCGGAACGGCGCAGCGGAACGAGTTGATCGGGTACGTGACACGTGTCCACTATTGATTGGACTGGTCACGTAACCAGTGACGATCCGGCCTGAGGCCAGCCAGCAAGCAGCAATGTGCGCGGCGACCAAACATGTAAAGGTAAGCTATGTAGAGACTCCATCACCGCGAGTGTGGTCGCCGCCAGCAGAGGCGAAAGCCCTGAAAGCCTCTGCTCCGCTAGCTGTAGCAAAGCGGCAGGTTTCTGATCAAGATTCTACGCAGGCAACAAAGACAGAAGGTAGTAGGATAGCAACAGGATAGGAACGTCTAGACGCATTGAGCAGGCTTGTAGCAATCATTGAGAGACGTCGGCTGCGGCTCACCGACTTGGGGAAGAGTTTATTGGAGGCTTTTGGCCATCCGGCTGCGAGCCGACTTTTCGGACCAGGATTTGCTACAAGCTGCTCTAAGTTGAACAAACAAACTAGAATCTTTGCTGGCTCCCTTTAGTATTCATGCAATTGCCCTAAGTCTCCAGCCTGCCCGTGGATGATTCCTGGCGCAAGTTACCCTCCGCCTCTACGACAATCGCAGGACTTCTGGCCCGAGCCTCTTCGCCACTTTACATGTCCTGCCCGAACAGTGAGCGCAGATCTTAGGTGAGGAACTTTCCCTTTTTGCTGGTATCTGCTCAGAGGCATGCAGTAGTTGAACAAAACGTTTGCCCTCTGTTGCAGATTCAAAGACATCAGTGACTTCGGCGTCCTCCACCCGTGATTTTCCTGAGGGGCGTCCCCACCATCTCATACGCTCAATATGCTGAATGCCGGTAAGTTCAGACATATCAAACAACATGTTTAATATATGGTAAACAGGGGAGGTTTGGAGGAAGGCAGGAGCAATGAGATGTTTTGAGCAGGCTTGTCGCAGTCCTGGTGGTCAGTTGAATGCAACCGTGGTGGCAGGCCTGAGCCAAGCACCAACCCTTATTACGAGTCACCCAAGAGAGACCTTGGCTGCGGGCACCCCAATCTGGGGAAGTGTCCATTTGGTGGTGGATGACCTTCCGGCTTTGATATAATAGAAGACGTGCTATTTTACCAACTGCTTCAGAGTTGTGCTGAACAGTTTATAATAGAAGTCATGCCAGATACCAACTACCAACTGCTTCAGAGTTGTGCTGAACAGTTTCTAATAGAAGTCACGCCAATTACCAACTGCTTCAGAGTTGTGCGCTGAACAGTTTATATCCCAACACGTGCTACATACCAACTGCTTCAGAGTTGCTGGCTGAACAGTTTAGATCGCATGCGCGCTTTGGTTTCAAGCCAATTCTGACCAGGATTCCGGCAGATTCAGTGGCTTTAGACACATACAAAGACGGGTACTTGGTAGAGATTGGTGATAGGTGTAAGTGCTTCTAAGCAGGCTCTTGAACAAACTCTGGTGATTAGATTGGATCACTTCCGCGGCGCTAAAGCGCCACACACCACCCTCGAGCACTCTATCAGGAGTTCTCGTGTTTTGGTCTCCCCAAATTGGGGGTTTCAAACCATAGAGGCACAGCGCCCTTCGGCTTCGAGCCGGTTCGGGCCAGGGATCTGTTCATGAGTTCGTGCTGTCTTCGAAAAAGAAGTAGAAGCATCTGGACAGGCTGTTCATCTCTTATTCCGCTGTATCAGGAATCTTCCAGTCATCAAGCTTTAAGCACAATATCTTGATATCGACACCTGCAGACTCTGTCACGGTTTCGCATGCACTCTGCGCGCATGCCATGGCCTTCACTACATTAGCCCATGTCAGGCGCCGATTTCTGGCTGGTCTCCTCGTCCTACATGAGTAGCCAAATGTGAAGATCCATTGGTCCTCACATATGGCGGTACAGGTCTAAACTGGAGGAGGGCCATCTTGGCAAGCGCTGCATTGCTCAGTTGGTGTTCGTGCTATGTGGCCTTTCTCAGGGCCTCGAACATCGAAAAGAGTTTCTCAATCGATGCTTCTGAGTAGCTCGCTGACCGTCTCTTGCCGGTGTGGGCCCGCATCCTACTAACAACAGCTACGGAAATAGAGAGAGTCGAATCTGGATCTTTCAAACAGATGCTTCCAATCAATCCGCATTGCAGAGGTACAAGCAGTGGGTGTTCTGCTGTTGGCTCTCATCTCCATTTCATCCCTTTTTCCAGGTGTTTTCGACTTTCTCCCTATTCGTTGGTAACATGCCCACACAAAATTTGTTGTTGCAGCACCGGTGCCTGTCCTCCAGTCTACCGTCAGGGGAGCGCTTTAACGGGGTCCGCGACCTGATACTACTCTCCAACAATGTGCCAAGTCAAAAAGGTGAGGCCTGCCTACCGCACCTTGTCTCGTATTTAGAAAAGTTTCACGCGTTGCATGTTTGGATGCGTGCAACTTACGAGTTGAAGGTTTGATTGAGAACGACAATCTCAACGTTTTCTTGCACATTTAGATAGTACAGCGCATGACATGCTGGCCGTGCCATCAATGGCCCTGGCCACACGTTGTACTACAGTCGTCCTCGTGATCACTGCAACAAAGTGTCAACTTGGATGATTGGTTTCGATAATGCAAATGAGTCCTTCAACCACATACCTGACTCCCGCCTGACCCGTTTGATTCCAGGTTTCAGCGCGTTGGGGGCAATCAATCAGCAACGAAGCAGAACATTCATTGGACGCACAATCAGATTGTATATACGATGCTAACGAAGCCAACGGGGCCGCCGTTGAATGCAGAAGGCCCAGATGCGAACTTGGAAGTTGTGCATGTAAGCTGACTTGAACCGTAGCTAGAGAGAGCTGTACTATAAAGCACTGTCGACGGTTGTACCAATTGTCGGATCTGCTTAGGAGCCAGAAAAAAAACAAACCGCGATGCCTACACGTTCATTCATGAAACTGAGTATGCAGATCGCGATCCCCATGAGAGAAGAAGAAGGAGCTAGAGCAGATACGAAAGAACAGGCCGGCGTCACTAGGCCGCGTGGCCCCTGCCGAACGGGCAGCTAGTTTTAGTCCTTTCAACCATGTTCAGTCATAGCCTAGGCAACGCCGTTTTAGAGTCTACATGTCAATTTCATTTTACAGGCGGCCGCGCTCCGGCATGCATTGAAATCATCCCGACCGCATGCCGGCCTATAAATCATTCGGAAGTGCTGTACTGCCCCCCGCGGGCCGGGTTGCATGCATAGTGTTCCGTTTCGATCCATCGCATGACACCTGTACAATTTACGGTATATATACAGGGACAACTATCCGATATTCAGTGCAGTTGGATGGCGCGCGGCATGCACCGTTCCGGGTTCTGTTTGCAATCCGCGGCCGGCCTCTGTAGAGCTGTAGCCAGGCCGCAGGACTGCTGTTTGGTTAAGCTTACTGCATGGCCGGCGTAAACTGCGCCGTAAGTGATTCTTGGATACAGCTAGCCCGCTCAGGCTGAGTCTAGCCGCCTGATTGCAACTACGTACATACTCTACAAGTCTGCTAGCGAATCGGTGGCGACTAGAACCGTCGGATGCACAAGCCAATCTCTGATCAAACAAGCCAATCTCTGATCGAACATGTACTTAATGTTTCAAATGACGAGTCGCAGACGTTGACGAAGATTGATAAAATCTGTAAGTTAGATCTGAAAACGTTTGACTTCGAAAGTATGAGTTGCCTTATCCCAATTCGGTTGCTGACATCACACAAGTTTGCAAGAGCAGTTCTAGCTTCTTAAGAAAGTTCGCGTTGATTGCGTAGACTTTGTACAAAAGAGCCACCAACATTCAGATGAAACGGGCACACCGTGCACGCAGGTCCCCCTAATAGCTACCCCCGATGTAATCCTGCAGCTCGGCCTTCTCTTTCTTCTTCTCTTGAACCATTGTATCCAACATGTCCCGGATTGAAACGACCCCTAGTAAATGCTTCTCTGGCCCCTCGACGATCGGCATGTGGCGGATGCGCTTCTCTGCAGACATCATCAGATGTGATCAAATCCGTCTGGTGTATTTTTCGATTGACTCTCATGATCTGTGAGTTGCTGCTCGAGGATAAGGTGCCAATCTTGATGCCTTGCTAACCGTTGAGAGGCATGACATCATTGGCGGCATGCAAAGACAGGCCTTTTCAAGACATCTGCCTGATACCTTTCATGTATGTTACAGTCTCCCTGCCCGACAGCTTCAGAAAAAGAAGGCACTCTTGATATCTGGTTGGTAAGTCTGAGTGTCCTGAGCCTGCCCTTGGAACGATGTTGATATTCTTACCCGTCATCAGCTCCATGACATCATAAACGTTGGATTCCGGCGGAACGGCAATCAGGTCCTCCTGCAGACCGGAAACGGAAGAGCTTAGGTTCTGCTTCCTGATAAAGCACCAGGTCAAGTCAAGGAAAGTGCGCAGATTCTTGCAGAGGACCCAGGCACTTGCCTGGATACAAAGTTATTTGGTCAGTGTCACTATTTGAGATTCCAGTTTAGCATATGATTCATAGGTTCGCTTCACCGACTGGTCGTAAAAGTATAGCGAAGCTTGTCCGAGTTGCGTGTCATTGAACGGGATGTGAAGACCACACAAGGCTAATGCAAGGGGCCCACGACTGCGGGACCACTTTACATGCGGCGACGTATTTCGCCAGATCTTCTGAAGCGGTGGTATGGAGGCGCATAAGCCAAATGAGCCGCAGAAACAGGACTAACGTCTAGGAAATTGTCGCTGACGACAACAGGGCCCTTTAGCTGCAGTCGCCAAGAACGACCACTCTGTCGTCGGAAAGTCTGACTGTGTAAGCAGGAATGAGAATTGGAAAAAATGGACCGTGTCTCTGAGACGGCCTGCAGCACACGCATTCCGAATCTGAAACTCGCAAAACACGGTTTGTCTCAAAGGCAATGAAGGCTGCCGTCGTGCATCACGACGGGGAACCCAACGCCTCCCTCCTGCGGCCATGGGCATTCAGAATTTGTTTCCAATCTTCGTTCTTCACGAAAGGCTTTCATCCGAGACTGCCAGAGAAGTCGGACCGACGTCCAATCGGACCACTCACATTGAGAGCGTGAAACAGCATCCAGAAAGCACTGATGCTCATGGCTTATGCCGATTTAAAGGCATCCTTTCAGAGACAGACAGTTGTCGGAAAGAGATGTCAAGGCCTATCCAAGGCTGTCAAAGTGGCTCCTAATGACGGACTTCATCAATGACTAGTCAATCAATTCACCTCCATCAAGGACCAAGGATTGACCACGTCTTAACGTAGTACGACCCCGCAAATCAGGCGAAAAGTAACACTTTTGGCCCTCCTATTGTGGGGTACAAAGGGGACCTGTGAAAAGGACACAACCAGGCTTCGTTCGCTTGGTAATTTCTCACCTCCTTAGTCATGATGTCCCGGACAGGCGTCTCCCTTGACGACCTCCCCAGCAGGATGATTTTCCGCAGGTAGTCTGCGGCAGAAGCAATCAAAGGACTGCTCAAAGAACTTGCAAGACTTGGCTACAATATCTGTCTAATCACAACCAAGATTTCGTGACATTGGCGACTGATGCTTTCGGCTGTCTGACCTAGCAATCTTATGGTGGCTGCACGAATCTGGTCTTCACGATTCTTGATTTTCGTGGCTTTCACTTCTGTCCAAGCGCGTTCTTTGACAAACCAATCACAGGGAGGTGAGCAAGAAGAAATTGTTTAGCACCACGAAGGACTTTTTGTTCCCTCGAAGGCAGCAAAGGATATTGTCCATAATAAACAACCCCCTGATTTGTGATGAGGCGGCCAGCTGCGCTTCACACTTTTGGCTGTTGTGGAGAACGAGCCTCTGGTGGCCCACCGAAGTATGGATGCAGGAAGCTCTAAAAATTGCAGAACGACTTACCCCTCTCCGTAACAATTCCTGCCACAGTAGAGTGCTTTCCGGATCTGGCAGAGGGGGTAAGGACTACCAGCGCGCCGATGTTCTCATTGACCATCTGACAAGAAGAGAGCATGTTTGTGAGCTAAGGGGCTGACTTTCACATGGGGGAGTGATCAATAACCCTGAGTACTCTTCTTTGCAAGATTGCCCGTTCAAAAGAGAGAACCTTCTTTCAAGTGAATGGCATGGGATACTTGTCAGGGGACCACAGATTCTAGGCCAGATTGGCAGCTATGACGGAGATTGCAGCCCTTATTGAAAACGTGAACTAGGTGTAGGCGCTCTCCCCTGAGAAGGACAATTCAGCAGGGAGTCTTCGGAAGCACCCAGGATCACAGTCATCCTATGCTTAATGATAATAGTTGCACATAAGTCTTCAGAATGTTTGCCAGTGATTATCGAAACCCCATCTACAACCTTGCTGTAATGTTCGTCACGCAGTGACATGGCTCGGGGCTCCATCATGGCTATCCTGGCTTCACTTCGCTCCAGACGGCTGCACATTTATGTTAATTGGTGCACATACCGCATCTTACCTTCCTGACCGCATCAATGACAAGGTCATCTGGCTTGCAGCTGATGATGTTGCTGTCTTCCTTGTGCATTGCCTTGAGGACGTCAGCCATCTTTGCGGTAGGGGCATCCTTGGGCTTCTTTGCAGGGATAGGGATGTCAGCATGCGGCGCTGTTGCGAAGTTCCTGCAGAGCAATACTTTCTTGAAGCAGATGATTGGAAAACGCTCGTGCCACACAACTTGGAGAAGCTGTGCAACTTTTTTGCTGTCTGTCAGGTTTGTCTTGCAATATCTGCACCAACTGAGATACTGAAGTATGCGGCAATCTTCTGGAGGAGGATTCAGAGGGAAGTCAACAGAAGCAGTCCTTCAAGACTAGTCCCACATACTGCAAGGGTGGAGGAAAACACAACATCGTACAAGTTTCACTATTTGGTCTGTTAACAATTTGACCTTCAATGTAGACTTTACATACAGTCATATGTGACAATGCACTGCCTTCTTCTCAAAGGGTCTTGCTGGGAGGATTGTTTATAATGAAAGGTGTTGATATTGAATTGAAATGCAAGTAGCTGCTTTGATGCTGGTTGTGTCAATTGGTGCAAGTGGCTGAATCGTGCATCGAAAATGGGCATCAAGAGATTGCCACATCTCTTACAGCTAAATTGTTAGGAGAGGGCAAACAGTGTATTCACATTCTCTGTTTGCTGTGTGAAAGCGAAGAGTTCCAATACAAGCTCAATGATTCATGTGAAAGGTTGCATTTTCAGTTGGCGATAAACTCCGTTCCTTATGCATTGAGTGACTTCTCACATGGGAGTTCGCGCTTGGCCTATAGTACATGAATCTATCAGTCAAACGTGCAAAGTACGTGCATGCATTTTGCAATGTCTTACCTTGCTGTCAAGTTGGGAGTTGCTGTGGCTGATTGTGTAGCTACAACATCCAGGGACCTGCATTCTGCATCTTTTTGCAAAGTTGCACAAAAGCTGGGGCGAATCAGACTACTCCGTCTCCCCAATGCTTGTGCAAGCTGCCAAGCACCAGGAATTGCCGCCATGATATGGAAGTAATCCCGAAAAGAGCTGCTCTTGTTGTGAAGCCTTCTGCAGCTCAAGCTGGAATGTACTTCCAAAAATGTTCAAATAGCAGATTCCTCCGTAGTCCTTGAGCAATGTGATTGAATCACTCAAGTTTGCGCATTCAGCTGTGCCACAGCCTGTCGAATGCCTTTGAAGACACAACTCTCCTCCTTGCTTTGAAGCTATCGAGAGCAGCCTTCAACTGTGAATTTGCACAACTGTTGGCAGCTAAGGTCTTAGCGCAGTTCCCGAATCCCAGTTCCCTGCAACTCCTTCTCTAGGACTCAAATGTAGATTTTGCAGCTTTTCTAAGTCACTGTACAGCAGACTCCACCGGATAACCACGTGACATTTTCAAAACTGGTTCATGCACGTTCGATAGCGAACCCTATCAAAACGGACGGCAGCTGTGGCCTCATCTCCATTTTCGTGTCCTACAGTGGCTTTCGTTTTACCTAGGCCTTCTAAAGTGAATCCATTATAAGCGAGCAGGTTTACGCTGCATGGAAGAAACGGCAGGTGTGATCCGGTTACACGAGAGCCAGGTGCAGACTACAGGTTGTGTTTCATTTCGAAGAACGGCACACACGCTGACACATCCCGGCAAACATAAGACCTCCAAGAAGCTTCACTCAGGTTTTCCATTCAAATGAGCCTGTACAATGCAGCCTTGAGGCGTTCATCGTCACGACTCATGAGGCCCAGGCCCAGGCCCAGGGCCAGGGGTCAAATTGCAGGCAAGCTTGCATTCTTTGGCAGCGGCAAAGCATTCATGCAGGGCCCACATTCAGCATGCAGGCTGAGGGACTCTGCAATTCAAAGTCTATCTGGCCGCGCTGTTTAGCCACTCAGGAAGTGGATGAAGATTTCGCCCATTTGTCAAGGGAGGGGCTCTCGCACATGATTATGCTGACGACAAGTGAATTCCTCGTCCAATCTGGCAGCCAGACATGGTGTTAGTGGCGCCGCATCTGGTTTCGTCTCCAGTTGGAGGAACATTCGTACTTGCCAATTATCAGACATCTGCAGCTGCTCCAAGGATCACCGCATCAGCCCCTCTTTCAGGAGATGCTTCCAGGAATGCTGGGGTTGCATGCAGCAAAAGAATCCAAACTGCAAGGTGCTTCTCCAATCGCTCTGCTGTGAGGATCTGTGTGCTGGGGGGGCCAGATCTGTCCAAGCTCCGTAAATTGGATCAGACTCACAACTCAGCTGGCAATTCACCACGGAGCAAAGGATGGAAGGGTCAAGGTGCCGCAACCAAGGCAAGCCGGGAAGTTCAATCTATCCGCCTGTCATCAAGCAGGGTTTTAAACAGACCGGTTGGTCTTCGGATGCCACCAGGGCCGCTAGAATTTGTTCGGCAAGCGTTCTGCTCTTTTGTCGTAGCTGCGGCAATCCTCCTCCCCGGTCCTGCATTAGCAGAAGATCTCAGAGACCTCCCTTTGTTCAACGGCAGAGATCTGCCTTCCGGAACTGTCTTTGTTGAGCATAGAAGTAGCGAATTGCTAGAGCCAAGTGTTGATGCCGTTGAGCAGAGAGAATGGGAGTTCTCCGATAATCCAATTGGAGCATCAGCTCCTGCAGTACAGGATTCGGCAACCAGTGGCCACAATTGGGTTGGCAATCTGGGGGCGCCGCGCAACGATAGCTCTGAGCTGTCAGTGAAGAGGACCGCAGGCACCAGAGCGGCTGGCTTCAGCACTGACTCAGGCTGCGAAGATGGGCTGCATTCGTCTGCATTTCCTGAGCTGCTGCTGCTATCAAATGAGCTGGACCTTGAATCCCACCTTCAGCCGGCCATGCTTCACCAGAAGTCGACAAGTGGAGCCGAGGCGCCTCTTCTGGCTCTCGCTTACCAACCCAGCTGGGGGCCTGAGAATCCATTGCCCCTTCAAAGCAGACAAAATGCTCAGTCACGGCGAGAAGTTGACACTTTCCTTGGAAAGCAGATGCCAGCTGGCGCCCCATCACGAAGCTTCCCATTGCAGACTGCGCTGGAGAGCCGCCCCTGGGGATCCACGAGTTCTTTTGCCGTCTTTAGTGACCTGTCTTTACAGGGTTTAGGATCCCCTTCCAGCGCAGCAGTAAATAGCTTTAGGCAGTTAGGCAGCCTCGGGTCTGTAGCCGGCCCTGTACACATTGTTAGTCAGCGGTCCCGCTCTTCTCGGTTAGCTAACCCCGTTTTCCTGGAACACCCGCGGGCCCTCGGCAGGAAGGGCCGACAAAGGAAGGTGGCTGTAGCCTCACTGCCGGCGGCTAACCAGGCTCTTAACCAGGGGGTTAGCCAGGCGCTTAGCGAGGGGGGCCTGAACCAGTTTGCTGAGCTGGCGGTAGGGGCAGCCAAAAAGGCGTTCAATGTCGGAGTGCTCGGGGCTACGGCGGGGGCGTCGCTGAAGCTCTTCACAGTATGCGGTGAGTTCGCTTTGTCGAGGTCCAACGCGGGAATAAGACTCCTTCCTGTCCAATCAGTTTAAGCGCCCCTTCCCGACTCTTGTAAGGTATCCATTCATCGCAAACGAACTTTTGCCACGACAACATACGTATCGGATGGTTAAGCTGTCCAAACTAGGCTTTCAACACCACACTCCCGCGGCCTATGGAGGATATCAGAGTGACCAGAAAACCAAACAACATGAGCAGACAACAGATCCTTGAAAGGAACGAAGAAGGTAAAGGAGTATTTGAAGAGGTTCGAAGTTCACAGGTGAGCTGCGGCAACCGGTTGGCTTTACTGATGAATCCCTCACTCTTTGCAGCGCTGGTCGTCTGGATGCAGAAGTCGGGCCGGCTGCCAGAGTCGACACCCGCTGTCTTGAGCCAGGTAAGCTTAATGATCGGAAGCAAGCGAATACTGAATTGCAGCCTGGAAACCTCCTTTATTCAACATAGATTGAGTGATGCGTTACCCCTTGGTGCACCTTCGAACCCTCATGTTGAGAAGCTGGAACACGAGATACAATGACTTGAGCTGGCAATCCATGCATGTTAGTGTCTGCATCTCAATCGGATTGATTGCTTTGTCCATCGAGGCTGTTGACAATTGGCTTGCTAACCCTGCGGAGGGGATTGACAGCCGATCTAATGAGGTACTTTCAATCTTCAATGCAAGTCGGGTGCAGGGTCCTTGAATATGTGCCACTGTGTGAGCAAGGACTCGACTAATCACGATGCTAGTCGTTGATTGGTTTTTTGAGCTCCTCGCCTGACAGTCTATGTAGGTCTTTGTGAAAGACCAAAGCTCAAAGCTTGTGCTGTCTGATGCAGGTTGCTTTCCGGCTCCTCATTCCGTGTTTTTTGATGTCAAAGGTAAGTAAGTACGTGCTCAACCAACCCCCGGTCATGATGAAGCGTTTGCACCTCGAAAACACTAATGCGTTAACATGAACGTCCGGAAGCTCGATGGCCTAAAAACTATGTTGAAACCTGGGTTGCTAATCTGACGGAAGGTAGGTTCAGCACGTTTCGCGGCAGAAAGGAGGCCGTCCTCAAGTATCAACAGACAGAGATGGAAGCGCTCTGCATCAATGCAATGTGCCCGTGTATTTATTCTTCCACTTTCCTCCCATCTGCCTGCTATCACTAACTCGGCCATTCAGTCAATCGAGGCGAATAGGAGACGGGGACCTTGCAATTTAGCCGTGAAGTACAGACTCACATCGTACTAAAAATTCACCGGCAATTCACAAACACTGGCTGAAACAGAGAGCTCACGAGAATCCACCTGTTCAGGACACCCTACCGTTCTTTGCCAGGTGGCAGTCACCCTGTACAGCGACTTAAGCCCCGCTTTACTCGCTGTTACCAGCTTAGCGGTGATTTGTGTCGCATTATCATTACACCGATAAAAAACAGTTACTGGCTGAACAAAACAACAATTAGTAGACATACTTCCCTTAAAGACTCTTCGCTTTTTGTGCCAGGTGGCAGTCACCCTGTACAGCGACTTCAGCCCCGCATTGCTCGCTGTTCCGGTCGCCGCCATTGTCCAGATCCTGCTCGGGGCAGGCATGGGCAGACTCGCGGCGCACTTCGCATACCGAGAACCCCCCCTCGTGCCCGCACACTTCGAGGCCCACCAACCGACTAGGGCCTCGTCGCTAGTGGCAGGTGAGGTTCTGCACTGACCGGAAAGTGCGCAAGTTTCCCAGCCTCTAGCCTCGGTCTACGTACGCGCCCGGACACTGATTACTACAGCTAAGAGGTCTTTGAAGCATGTTCGCTTGGGTCCACGTGACTGAGTGAAGCCGTTGCCATTCCGGAGGACTGGAGAGGAGCTCTTGAAGTTTCTTGTCGATGCCGAACCGGAGCGTTGTGACGTCATTTCGCTCTGGAGAAGCGGCTCGTTATATTTTGTGGAAGTCTCGAAGAAATGGATATGCCGCCTCTTGGTGACCAACGGTTAGAGCGTCGACGCTTGTTCCAAGTGAGAAGCAGAGGATTCGAAGTTGTTCCTCTTACCGACTAGTCGTTTCTGGAATCGTGACGGATCTTTGCACATTCTATAATATCTGTAGCATGCTCCCGTGAGCGACCGGGCAATCAAAACCGGCCGGCGCTCTGCTTGCGTAGAGGACACGAACGTCTTTTCCTAACGGACATGGTAGCCTTGGGAAGCCTCCGAAATGCTGTCCGCAAGCATCCTGTTTGCAGCCAATTTTGCCACCAGGCCACCAGACGTCGTCAGTGCTCTTGGCCGCGACTGAAGTTTCTAGGACCGCCAGTCATCAATGTATTCGAGCTGCTTTCCCCCAATCTTGGCCAGGTTCTCAAAGACTTAAGCTGTCTTCGCCTCGTGCAGCCAGTATTGTTATCGCGACCAAGCAGGTGGACGTCGCCGTTAATCTGACGGCCCAAGGATGTGGGGGCTGTCAAACAATCTGGAAGAAGTCGCAAACCTTTCTGCTTGTTTTCCAATCTCGGCAGGCTTCCTCAGGACAAAACGGCAACTTTCCTGGGTGCAGCGAATGGTGCTAAAATGTCCGGTCAGCCGAATAATCATCCGAAGATACTGAAACCGCCTATCAAATCGGGAGTCGACAAAGTTTCAAGCTGCTACCCTTCCGACTTAAAGGTTCACGACCAACTTTCTCTTTTTGGTGCAGCTAGTGTTGCAATCGCGACCGGTCAGCCGGACGTTGCCGTTGCCTTGACGGCACCCAAAGGCGTCGGGGCTGCCAAGCTGGGCGCCAGCAAGGAGGCGCTTATGACGGCGACAAGTGCGTTTGGCAACTCCCTCACGCTTCCCCTGGTGAGTTTCTCACAGGGAGCTTGCTTCTCTTTCGACTGGCGACCCAAGAAGAAAATACGTATAGCGGCCGCACGCAAAGATTTGGTTGTAGCACTCTTTTATTTTCTTTTTATAAGCCCCTCGATGGTCTGCATACGAGAACCCGCTTTACGGTTCGAGCGACGACTCGCTGAAGTCTCGTTTCAATGTGTCTCATACGCGTTCAGTAGATTTGTAACCGGTTTGACGTCACCTTCATGCGAGCCTCCTGCTGACATCACCTGTTTGCACGTTTCAGGTGTTCCTATCGGCGCTGCTCGACAGGGCCGGTGCGGACAAAGCGGCGGGGTACCTGGCTCTCTACATGGTTGGGTAAGCGTTCGTTCACTTTGTGAGCTCGTTCTTTTTTCGTACGTCCCTCTTCGTAACACCAGCCTGACGCTGTCAAGAACCTGAAAGGAGGATTAAAGGGCCCATCGCGGCAAACGTCTGTTGGCTTTTTGATTGGTACTGCGTTCCTTCCTCCAAGTGGCAGCAATTGGTAAAAATACGAACGTTTGCTGACGAAGACTGTCCTCTTTCACTGAATGGTAGAATAAGGCGACTGTAATGCTGGCTGAAAACAGTGGGCCCGTCGTATACTACCGCCGAATGCTGGCAAGGGGAACCCTTACTACATTTTTAGAGAACCTCTTCGGTGGATTACAAGTGATTGAACGGCGCCCCATACTGCTCTCAGGTAGCTGACGTCATCATTCTCCGGGCCTTGTCCAGTCCAAGCACGTCAGCTCTCTTTTCTCTCGCTGCACCCTAAAGAGCGACCAAACCTCGTCACCTTCCCTGCTGTTGGTCGACCGTCCAAATCCATGCGATTTACACCAGTTTCGCCGTATCTCATTGCCAATCCATGCTTACCCCTCTCCAAATCGAAACCCCGCCACGGCGGCCTACCTCACCGAGTCTGCTTGCCGCTTTCCTCAAGTTCTGCTTCAAAATTTCGCTCAGCTTTCACCCATCTTCAGACACGTCTTCAGGTGGCGACCAACCCCAGCCATCTTGCCCGCAGGTGGGCGCCCGCCTTCTCGACGTCTCGCTACAAAATCTCTCCGTCAGTTTGATCGTCCATGTCTTCTTAGGAAAATCTGTGAAATAGGAAACCACGGCAACCACGTTCCTCGTTCTCCCCACGCCCGTTCTAGAAACCTGCGGCGACAAAATTTTCCCGTTACTTTGAGTGTCACTCTCGTTCACCAAAAGCTGCAAAGAAAGGCGACCACGCTCCCCCTTTTCCCCGCAGGTGGTCGCCCGCCCTGTGAACGTTCAGCTATGATAGTTCCCCGTTACTTTGACTGTCATTCTCGTTCAGCAAAAGCTGCAAAGAAGGGCGACCATGTTCCCCGTTTTCTGCGCAGGTGGTCGCCCGCGCTCTGGACGTTCGGCTACAAGATCATCGCGGGCAGCTCCGACGATCCGGAAAACGGCGACGAGAGCGATTACGAGGGGGAGGGTCGGTGGCAGGCCTTTCTCACCTGGCTGGGCCGGGTTATGAACCCCCCCCTATACGGAGTGTTTCTGGGGCTAATCATTGGAGCCACCCCCCTGGCGCATTTGTTCCTGCCCCCCGCGACGGCGGCCGCGGAAAACTTAGCGAATGCCACGAGCATCACTCCGCTGACGGTGCTGGCGACGCTGACGAGCGGAGTCTTCCGGCCGGTGATGGAGGTCCGGGTTCCAACCGTTTCGTCTTCTTTGAAGTGCTCCATCTTTGCAGCTCTTGACGTTTGAGTTTTTGACTGCTCGACGTTTCGGAATGTTAGAATTTTACCATTGCTTTTCTTCGTTCAATACCTTTTCCTGTTGGGGCGTTCTCTTTGTGCAGAACCGAGAACCTTCAGTAGACTGCTGAAGGTTGTCAATGGACTCCGCTTGCTTGGCGACTTACTCCCGGACTTCGACCTTTACCCTTATTTCCAGGATTTCACGCGGATGAGCATGTGCTCTAGTTTAAGCCAGGAAATGCGCGCTCCATGCGTCTTCAGAAACGGGGTCGGGGTTCTCAATTTTCCCGAACCCGTCCTCTCGTCGCGTTGCCAAGTACTTCCTTCTTTAGGCTCAGATCCGTTCATTTTGCCTACGATCTGTACTTTTTGCAAGTACCTAGTCTGCCACGCATTTTAGCAAACGAGACCATCTCTGGTCTGCAGGCCGCCTCCCTCCTTGGTACCGCCACCCTCGCGGTACAGACCGTGGTTCTCGCCTCTTCCTTAGCCGCCTCCATACCCTCCCGCCTGCACAGCTTCAGCGGCGGAGCGCAACCCTTCGTTGCTACCCCCGGCGCTAACCCAAATCCCTTAACCGACGCACTCCGCGAAGGGGAGGGCCCCGTAGACTCCGTGGTTAGCGAATCCAGCAGTCTAAAGCCACGGAGGAGAAAAACGGGGAGGCTGAAACCGGGCCCCGATCCGGCGAACGTGTTGGACGGGCGGGCGGTGTGGGTGGTTTCGGGCGTGCGGTTACTGCTGCTGCCGCTGGTTAACCTATTTCTGACCCTGGGTTTGATGCGCGCGCACATCCTGCCGGCCGACCCGATTTGCGGACTAGTTCTCATGGTGAGCCTGCCTCACTTCTGCGGGTACCAGAGCGACTCAGGGAACTCCCCTGAGGGACGGTTGAAAGAGGTGTGGGCTTGGAAACTTCTAGTCCGCTTGTTTCCTGGTAGCTGTCGTAGTATGGCGGATTGACCAAACGGAGCTCGAGGCTTTGTCATCCCTGCTCAAAGGAACATCGGCACTTGAGTGTACAGGGAACCTGGTTGGTCGGGAAAACTGCCGAACGCACGTCTAGAATCGATTGCGTCGCACTAAAGCATGCAGAAGGCGCCTCCCATAAAAGCATTGGAAGAAGCCTGCAAATGCTACTTTCTGTCAAAACATACAGCACGATCACTAAACAACCAGGGGAAGCATTTTAACGCAATCTCGGAGACAAATCAAGTAGCGACTCATACTCGCAATTGTGTGCGCAGGCTGAAGCCGCGATGCCCTCCGCCCAGAACCTCGTGTTGCTCGCCCAGTTGAAGGCGAAAACTCGGCCGCTTGCCGGAATGGTAGCAGGGCTCTTGCTGAGACAGGTGAGCTGTCTTCCAAAGTAGATTCTGTCGTTGGCGGTGCGAGGTCCAGTCGTGCTACGATCTGACGTTGCTCTGATGAGAGGTACTCTCTTCTGGAAGTCTGTAGCGTGCACAAACCTGACCGCTCCTAATCTCTAGTTACTTTGCAATGGAAGCCCGCAGCTCCTCGAAATGACCGTTATATCTTCTCGACCGTGAGCAGTGCTTGAGACGTTGCGATCTATCCGGGCTGACGATCTTGCGTTCCTGTGCAGTACGCTCTATCCATTCTTCCCATCACATTCTGGATGGCCATTTTCCTGTCCGTGTTGGGACTAGCGACGTAAGCTTGCAACCAGCTTAGGGAAACATTCGGTGTTTTATGGCCTACACGTTGGCCTGTTAGCTAGCGCGAGAGGATAGATGCCAAGTAGGCAGTGGAAATTGACCAGCGGGATCAACACGAGACCTGGGTTCGACCAAGAACATCCAAAAAGGAGCGACCCAAGCGCCCTCTCGTTGTGAATGTGAGCAGTGGGAAGTTGCCGAGGAACTTTTAAGTTCCGTTGACCGTCCATGCCTAGGGTACCTGCTTGCGCATAAATGAGTGCCGACCTTGAGTCACCGGCAGTGCTGACGTCTAGTGGACTCTAAAACATTCGGATATCAGACTGGCTGCATGCCCAGCTTCACTAATCCGCGGTACATGCTGCCGCCATAGCCATCTTATATGCGTCCGAGCTCATGCCACTTAGCGTATGCGTGATCGATGAATAAGAAGTCCACATGTATACATGGACAATGCGTGTGTACATGGAAAGTGAGAGCCCGGCCGGGCGCCAACACGGCGCCAAGGCCCAACTCAGAGCGCCGGAGCAGCTCATGTTTGAGCGCATCCGGATATCCATCATACTACTATAGCTAGCCGGTACGTTTCATGAGCAATTGTTGATCGTGTATATAGCTGTGGAGGTACGTGGTCATTTACTCAGCTCTTGGTTAACAATTGGATTAAGTGTTGCGTGTAGCATATATTCGACAGCTGCTTTTTAGGTGTTAATCCATGATCCGTCATATGCATGACTTGAGTTTGGATACTAATCCCTAAGGATGCGGTACCTTGCACGACGGTGATCATTTCAGGGCCGCCAACTTCATCCACGTGCAACAACAACAATATGCAAAGTTCCATCGACAACCATGCTCAGTAAGGAAGTCTCTAGGTTGTTGCGTCCGTGCTTTCTTACAGCCTCCGCTAGCATTTGGAATCCAGATGAATCTTTCTCGCTTACCAAGTCTTAAATAAGAGCGTTCAAAGTTGCCCATTCTGTGCTTCTGGGAATTCCATCAGTGCTACTATTGATTATCGGTGTGCTTTCTCTCTTGCGAGCATATTCGCAAGCAAAATCCGCATGCATCCTGTGACGAAAGCTCAGGCCGGAACAGGGAACAGCACCGGTTCGCGCTGATTCCGTTCCCAGAAGCTTCCGCTTCCACGAAGGACGTGCATAAAACCGGAATAACGGAGCGGAAGAAGAGTGTACACGTGTCTCACACCGATTGGACTGGTCACGTACCCTGTCACGAGTGACAGGTTGTTGCGCAGACTGCAGCCCGAAGGCAGTCCCCCTGGTAGGCTGCTCAAGGCTGCATCCGAGTCCCTGCACTGGCAGCCTGAGCCTCTGCAAGCGGTTTGTTCCCAGCGGGCAAACAACAGAAGTAGATTCTAGAGTAGGGTAGGAGGAAGGTAGGAGGAAGGTAGGAGCAGCTTGTAGCAATCCTGGTGGTCAATAGACCGCAACCGTGGTGGTAGGCCTGGCCAAGCACCAATACTCAACACGAGTCTTGACAAGAGACCTCGGCTGCGGGCACCCCGATTTGGGAAAGTACCCATTGGAGGTGGATGACCTTCCGGCTCCCAGCCGACTTCGGGCCAGGAGTGCTACAAGCTGCTCAGGATAGAATAACACAATAGTTTACGTCCTTTAGCATTGGGTCACTCTAAGGACGGCCCGTCTTTCCTACTACAACACAATCTGGGGCGTCACTTCGCTGCTTGACAACCTGCAACGACCCAACTGTTCCAGTGAGGGGTAAGCACCCAGGTGAGTTTGTTCTTTGCCTTTCAGCTTTTGCACAAAGACAAATGAGAGTTTTTGAACAAAACATTTGCAATTTCCATGCAGGTTCTCATCATGGGGTTATTCGCAGCAGCACACACCGCACCTGATTGCTTCGAGGGGAGCCTGTGCTTGCCATGAGCAGCCCAGGGACTATGCTTAATGAGGAGGGTATGTCAGGAAGATGCTTATTCTTTGCTGAGTCGTCTGGAAGCCTTTTTGGGGAAGCTAGGGTGAAGAGATCTCTTCGAAAACCTGTATGGCTTACACATAGCCTTTTGTTTGTATTGTCCTCCCCAGCAATCTTGAACAAAGTCAAATTGAACCTGGGTCCAGCGAACTGTACTGCAACAAGCCTTCAGACGGCGCCAAGGCTGCGACGACGCGCGAGCAGAGACTGGAGCAGGAAAAACGGCAAAGCCTCTGTAAGTGTCCAAAGCATTATATCTGAACCCGATGAAGTAGGTGGGCTAAGTAGGAGAGCAGCTTGTAGCAATCCTGGTGGTCAAATGATCGCAACCGTGGTGGCAGGCCTGAGCCAAGCACCAGTACTTCTCACGAGTTCTCTATAGAGAACGTCGGCTGCGGGCACCCCGATTCGGGAAAGTGTCCATTGGAGGTGGATGACCTTCCGGCTACGAGCCGAGTCCGGACCAGGATTGTTACAGGCTGCTCATAGTTTGTGGACTAGTTTGTCTCTTTCCTCGGACTAACGTTGCTTTGAGGACGGCCAGAACTTCTGAACAAAACATTTGGACGTATCTGAAAGATCTCCATCAGAGTCTCGGCTGCATCCAGCACTTGCCGTGCCCGAACCTACGACCATCTTTGCCACCAGTGGCTGCCGCTGCGCCGTTGGGGCAGCCCTGCGGCCGGTTCAGTGAGGATGGTACACTGGACAGCTTTCCAAGTTTTCCTTGAGTTAGGTAATATCCTGTTGGAAAAGTTGGTCATTGGGAAGTGTTTTCAATTTTAAACAGATGATTCGAACAGATGAATGTGTCACTTGTTTTGTTTTCAGAGTTTCTGAACAAAAACAAGTCGAATCTGCATCCATTGTTCATTCAAATTTTCATTAACGTTACCCTGGATGCAGGATACTCTCCTGTTAGACGCTGTCCGTCCTCCTCTTGTGAGTCAGATTTTCTCAGCGAACGACCTCCCAAGATGAGTCGTCCAATGATGCAGGTGTAGACCGCTGTTAAGCCTGGGAATGCAGAGCGCTGACTTAACAGGAGAGCAGGCTTGAACTGGTGGACAACAACCTGAACGCAATGCTTTTGTTCACAATTGCGTTTGGAGGCCATTCAATAGAACCCATATCTAATTTCAAACATCCAGTTAAACCCACAGCTAACAACTGACAGACGGCAAGAAAGGAACTGTGAAATGCAGGAAGAAGCAGCTCGCCTGCTCAGAGCACAACTCTAAGTCAGTCAGCGAACAAGAATGTTGGCTCAATCAGTCGCCTCGCTGAGTTCCAAAAGTGAAAGGCTCCTGCTGCGACTGACCTCTTCTAGGACATGAATGCGGCACACGCTTTGTAGCCCGAGGTGCTATCGGAAGTGATCAAAAACGTTTGTTTAAAATGGTACTTAAATGTATACCCCCACCCCACAAGTACTTGACCTTAAGGCACATCAAAAAATAGGAACTGATCAGAGCACAAAAGGCTGGCCCCCAGTGTTCGGCTAGATAACCGGAGGGTCAGCGTGCCTCCTTGCTGTCCCACAACTGGGAGCTCATGATCGGGAGGGAACCCTTCTCGGACGTGTGTGCGCTTTGCACAATGCTTTGCTAGCTAGGGGGTACGATCTAAAATAATCCCAGTTTTTGTTCAACATCCACCGTTCTGCGTGCATCCTTTACTTTAACTTCCCTCTGAGCATAATACCTGTAAGCATATGATAAGACTTGAAAGCACATAAGATAAAAATTGTGCAGAGACAACTCTGAAGCAACCAGTGAACGAAAAGCTGGCCCCAAATGTT